AGTGGTTTCCCATGGAGAACAGGATGGAGGTGTTTTAATCTTTTATTTAATTCTTTTAAAATAAAAGCTATCACAGACACTGATGAAAGAATAGGACAATCAACAAAGGATGCAACCTCAGTGGGGAACAAATCAATCATACGTACTTTTGTGTTTTTAGTAAATTTATCAATTCCTTGTAGTGCTCATTTAAAACCAGACGTGACCCTGGCAGTCTAAAACCAAAGCAGCCCTATGCTGCTTAACGTGGTTTTCCCATTGATATGCAGAAAAACAATGACTATGGTGTGCATGTTTATTTGTTTGTTTGGGGGCATAATGAAGATGTGAATAAGATGGAGACAGAAATCTGGCCTAGTGAAAAAAAAACTGCTCAAAACCTTTCAGGGACCCTGATTAAGAAGGGAGAGACTGGCAGGCAGAATAGCTCAAATGGCAGAGTACCTGCTTAGCAAGCAGGAGGCCCTGAGTTAAACCCCCAGTATTTCCAAAAAAAAAGACAAGAATCGGGGGAAAAAGAAATAACAAAGACTCCAATTCTAATCCTGCTTCTGCCACTTATAACTATTTGACCTCAGGGAGTAAGTTCTATGAGCTGCAGGTCTCTCTCATCAGTCAAAGGAGCCTCAAAAACAATCTGTCACCTCATAGTATGGAGAGAATCTGGGGAGAGACTGTATAGCACTCAGCTCAGCACCTCCCAGTGCGAAATCTCTAGTGTAGTAAATGGTACTCCAAATGTAATTACACAAACTGGAAAGAAAGTAGAAGAAACTAAGTGAATCTCCATTAAAGGGAATATTCAAAAAATTCTATCCAGTTGATTGACTTAGCAAATAAAAAAACAGCCAGAAAAGAAAAGCAAAATTATGCACACTGTCAGTGGAGAAAGATATAAGCCAGAATCTCTGGGGTCCAGTAGTATTTTACCTGAAGAGAAAGCCATGATAAAAACAGCCACAAAGAATTAATTCTCACAGGCTAAAAAAAGAAGAGTTGGTGATAAGGATCACTCAGGTTCCAAGCTAATCTGCTATGGATTTTGGATTTGTCTCCCAACTCCTTCCCAAAAGATCAGTGGCAGATTATAGTAAGTCACAGACTCAGTAGTCTTAAATAAGAATATAAGGCTCTGAGAAGTGTAATGAGGGTGAGGTAGTAGCTGAGATCTGCAGCAACTGAAAATGAAATGTGGTTCTGGGAAACCACAGTACAGCAAAAAAGTAAACCTACAGACTATCAGTCAGAGGAACAATCATGATCAATCAGGAAAGACTGATTATCCTAGAACTAAACTTGAAATTTTATAATCAGAAACTAATCCTAGGAATGTATGCTTCTTATTCCCATATACCTCCCAAACTCTAAGCTTTGGTGTGCTATTTTCCTCCTCACAGCTTTGCCAATTACCAGCTGTGTAACCCAGAGTCAATGCTTCACCTCTCTGAGCCTTAGTTTTCTCTTCTATAAAAGAGAATGATGTCCTTACCTCCTTATGCAAGGAAATGGAGGAAACAGCAATGTGTGCTAACATTAACTGAGTGTTTATTAAACATAAAAAACTTCCCATATATTATCACACTGAAATCTCTCAATAACTATATAAAGTGTAACCAGAGGTGTGGCTCAGGCAGTAGAGCACTGTCCTAGAAAGTGTGAAGCCCTGAGCTCAAACCTCAATACCATCAAAAAAATATTCAAAACTATATAAAACAAATTCCATAAATTTTAATTTTATAGATGAGCTCTCAGATTCAGAGAAACAAAGAAGTTGCCACCCTCACACTGCTAAAATGCAGAGAACTGGAACTCAATTTAATGCTTGTATAACTCTGGAACATAAATTTGACCACTACACTTTTCTGCTTTCCCTATATATATCAGGCACCTAAAAGTATCTAGCAGACTAATCCCTTTCTCACTCCTTCATTTTTTCCTCAAATTATATATAAATAGAAAATCGAGTTTACTGAAATAGCACTTATATAGTTTCTTTAAGGAAATCATACAACTTAATCTATTTTCTCTCTTAAGCTCACCAAATCTCTGCCTATCGTTATGTACTATTTCACCTACTTTACAAATAACTATCTGGAAGGTAGCAAGCTGCTAGGACAGTGTGCCCTGAGTTGTACGAAGTTACTGTCTTTATTAGTTAAAACTTAATAAAAACCTTGGTCCTCTTACTCCTACATCAATTTTTATCCCCTCACAAGACACAGTCTCCATAATAAAGAACAGATCACTCATTTTTTATCTGGAAAACTACCGAACACATAATTCAGTAAAGGGCCTCGTGACCCTACCACCTTGTCAAAAGGAAGAAAGCATATAAAAAATGAGGTTCATAGGTTCAAAATGATGGTTTTGGTCCATCAACTTTTGCTTGGATTACACCCACCAACCAAGAGAAAATAATGTGAAAGTAAAATACAACAGATCCCTAGGTCTTCAGAAATTCAAATTAAACTGACTGATCTTTCAAATTTTCATACACTGCACCACGAGTGACATCAACTCCTATGGGACACATTCCCCTCTTTAAAGAAAAATGTGACACCTGATTAGACTGTTCTTAAAACCTAAGTCAGCAATGAAGATTTAACAACACAAATTCACAGCATCACAAAATTTTGGCGCTTCCTAAGGGAAGCTGAGAACAACAAAGGAAAGTGAGTGGTTGACCAAAGTTTCAGACAGGAAAGCAAGAAGTAGAATATAAGCCTGCTGACTACAATCTATTCCACTTGTAAATCTTGCTTCTAATGTCCACAAGTACACCTAGAGCTTTACAGAATTACCTCTCCACACAGAAAACTCAGGAAAACTCAGGATTTAAATCCTGACTGCCACTTACTAGTTACATAATCTTGGACAATCCCTTAATTTCTGTGAATTTCAGAGGGTTTTTATCTATAAACTGTGGGTCATAACAGGTTCCACAAGTAAGCTGGAGGTAATATGAACAAGTGGCCTGGCACACAGCCTGAGAAGTCCATAAAGGGAAGCATCAGGTCTGTAATCACCAAGAAAGCCTCGTACATACACATTCTCAGAAAACTCGTTGAGCAAATCAATGACCTAAACCACACAAACAGAACTTGAACCTAGGTCTATATGACTTTAAAACACCAGGTTATAGTGTTTCCAATTCAGATGATTTCAAAGCAGGGTGTTAATTAGGATTTACTGAGAACAAAAAAGAACAAGATAACCATTTTCTAGCCATAAAGCAGGAAAAAGTTCAGTCAGGGTAGTTCCCGGTCTCTTAGTATTGTGATCAATTCTCATTGCTGAGTTAAGTAGTGCATGACTCTAACTCCAGAACCCAAGAGGCAAAGGCAGGAGAATCTGAATTTGAGGCCAGCCTAGGCTCATAGACAGACCCTGTCTCAAATTTTTTTAAAAAATTTTTTGTTGCTGTCATGAGGTTTTGGAATCAACTAAACCTGGGTTTAGGTCCCAGCTGCAGTATAAGATATGTGGCCTCAGAGATACTAATTTACCTCTCTAGCCTAATTTTCCATAACACAAAAAGCCTACCTTACAGGGTAGGTATGTGGCACAAAAAGAAACTTCATTATAGTTATACTCCATTTCCCTTCTAATTATTTAGAAAACTTTATTCATTCACTCATTTTACATTCGTTCAAATGTCACTTTCTCCCCAATCACCCCTTATCTATGTATTACTCCCAAATCTATCTCTTTACCTTGCTTATTCTTGTTCATAGTCCCTACCATCACTTGACATTACATGTTTATTTTTCTATATACTTTACCTATTCAACTATCAGGTAAGCTCCAGGAGTGCAGGGAATTTTTGTTGCTTATTTTGTTTTCTGCTATATCCCAACAACTAGGAAAGTACCTATCCTGCCTATAGTTAGTGCTTATGAATATTTGCTGAATGACTGAACAAATTAATTTATGAGGCACTATGTAAGAATAAGAGTTTAAACCTTCTTCTCTGGAATCCAAGACTTAATGTCTCAGTTGGACTGCTACAACTGCCCCCTGACTATTCTCCTAGTGTCCATTCTGTCCCCTACATTCCATTTGTTAATCAGCAGCCAGAGAGACCCTTGCAAAGTCCATATCAGATCCCTCCTTTGTTTCAATCTATCCAACTCCCTCTCTGGACCTCCACCATCAGGCTCTCCTGACTCGTCTAACCTCCTCTCTTTCTACTCTCCACCTGAGTTTAAGACATAACACCTTTTCTCTTTCTCAAACACACCAAGGTCTTATCTTTTTTTGTTTTCCCTTTCTTCTTTGATACAAGATCTTGTGTAGCTCAGGGTGGCCTCAAACTCATGATCCTCTTGCTTCCAAAGTGCAACCTCTTTTCTAACTTAAAAAGGAACATACATTTTTATTAATTTAAAACTTTAAGTCCTATATATTTATATAATTAACATTATTCTGTTCTTATGCCTAAAATTCTTCAACTAGCAAGGTCAAATGTAAAAATATCTCTTCAAGGAATATGGGTTGGATTAGATTAAAAGTGCCAGGGACTTTTCTGACCTGGGGCCTTTGTGTTTGCTGCTCACTCTGGCTGGAACACTTTACCTAGGCTGTTGATGGTCTTCTTCATAATCCAGCTCTCAGCAGAAATGTTACTCTTTAAAGAGTCCTACTAAGCTAAAATTGCCTCTATCACCACTACTCCCCCCCACCCCCGACAATTCACTCTGTTGGACACCACTGGCTTTTCTTTCCTCTTAACATTCCATTATCTGGAATGACTATCTACTTATTTGTCTTAACTTTCCAACCAGAATGTTTGAGGACAAGGTATTTATCAAGGTTACTACTGCAAACCCAGCATCTAGCATGTATTTCTGAATCAGTAAACTGGATCTCAAACCACTTTTGCTAGGATAAAAGATACAAGTAAGGTATGCTATTGGCCTAAGAATATAGTAGGACATTGGTTTCCTTCCAAGGACAATCACCCCAATTCACTGAAATACATGAATTTCAGTCAAACTTACTTAGGAATGGGTACCCGAATTAGCGTGCCTTCGACTTCTGGGTTCAGATTCATTCCACTTTCTCTTATAGCCTTGATAGCTGCAGCTGTACACTGAAAACCAGATCAAAAGGTAAACAGAATTAGTAAATAATTATTACCATATGCAAGCCCTCTGTCGATAACTGGCAACCCATCTTGGCAGAACATGGAAACATTTAGTTCTGTTACCAGTAAGATCAGGAAGTTACATTGGTGTAGAGTGCTTTGATCAAGCTGAATAGCAAACTATGTCCACTCCTGGTACCAGTATATTGCGGAAGGAAAAAAAGAAAGGGAAGAAAAAATAAAAAGAAAACAGCTCTGCTTCTTTGAAAAGATTTCAATGGTTTGAGGCTACACAGATCAAAACCACAATAAATCCTCAAGGGAGGAGGGCTGGTCTGTGCAAAGATTGGTGTAAAGACAGATGAAAGATTTTCGTACGTTAAAAATTCCAGTTGACATCTTACACTCAAAATATACCAGTGCTGATTTGGAATGAGTAAATAAATTTAACTCATTCGCATCTACACTCATACTAAACTCACTCATGTTTCTGAATGAGCAATAAATCTCTGTTGGTGTGTGCTACAAGAAAGGTAGAATGGTGTAACAGTGAAAGCATGAGCTTTGGAATAAAAAAAAATCTCAGTTCAAATCCCAGTTCTGATAACCATGTGACCCTGAGCAGTTGGTTCCCATTTCATAACCTGAGATGCTATGACACCTACACCTCAGAGAGAGAGTGAGATAGTATGAGCAATGCATATCTTTCTCTGTGCCCAGCACACAGTAATACCCAAAGATAGTCATTACATAAACAAATTATACGCATTTATTAAGAATGCATTAATCTCCCAAACAAGGCTGAGTTGATATAATCACCTAGCTGACGTACTACTGCCCTCCTAACATCCCTTAGGGGCTTCTCCAACAGGTTTGCTCACTAATGTGCCAGCTGGCATACTGATGTACTAATTTCCCAAAGTGCCTCATCTCATACTGGAGCAACATTGTCATATACCTGGAATACAATACTAAAGGATAACAATTAAGCAGTGTGGAAGAGAGAGTTTTTCATTGGCAAAACAATGTGGAATTCATGAAAATAAGCCCTCTAACATTTTCAAAAGAATTTTAGGTTTGACCTCAGCCAATCTCCATCACTTGGACTCACAGGTCAATTCTTGGCCTTGAGTTCTTCCTTAGACTTTATGTTTTAAGTACATGGGGATTGATACCTATTTTACTTATCCAGATAATTCACTGTTGTTATTGTTTGGAAGAGGTGCCTAAACACTTAACATTTCATTGTTAAATGATCTTAATTCTATACCTATATGGGCTGTTACTATAAAGTTAAAAAAAAAAACCCAGAATGTCCACATAGACGTGTAGAATCTAAGTGTATATAGAATCTAAGTGTGGCCAATATTTAAAACAGTAAATTCTTAAAATGTACCTCTAATGGCAGATTATCACCTTTTGAAGGGATCTCTATCATAACCAAGTGTAGACTGTTTGCTGTGTATACAGGGACCAACAGGGTAAAATGAAACTCCTAAGCATAGACATGGTCTTCCCTGAGAGCCCAAGGAAGATGGAGTGAAGACTCAACCCATCATACTTCCAATTACTGGCAGAGTTAAGAAGAGTCTGAATGGAGATTTGGTCTAATGATGTTACTTTGTCTATATTTTTTACAGATCCCCAAGCTCAACATATTTAGTGATTATGACAGAAGGAAGTTGATATTTTTTAATAACTAAAAAAAAAAAAAAAACCTGGAATTAGGTTTACTGTATAAAGGATATGGCCAAGGTAAATAAAAGTTAACAGGACAAAGAAATTAATTTTCCTCTGTAAGAGAACAGCCACCATCCTTAATAAAATTAAACACTGATTTATAAAATTAACCACTAAGGAAGCATCTCCACTTTGAAGGGGTAGCCTGAGCTCAGATTTCCCAATCCTCCTCTGTAGCTGCTCACCACATGACTGGTAGTCTACTGCTGTAACATCCCACCGCTACCAACCTGTCCTTTTCAGTCTGGCCTAAGTAGCTCCACACGACCTTCCCCTGTAGGTATAAGAGCATTCACTACCAACACCAAGCTGGGCAGAAACTGTGTTTCAATATTTACATCTTCCCAGTACAAAGCATAATGCCAGATACATGGTAAGTGCTCAATAAAGGCTTGTTTGCTGAATTATCTGGTTTAAATCTATTAGAAAAACTCATTTCCTTACTTTACTTCACGGATGCAATCCCTCAGAACATTATTTTATACTTTACCTTTTTCATATGCAGAAAAATGTTAATCAATTGAGGCTTCATTTTGCAAAGAAGCCTAGCGGAAGTAGTTATTCTAACATTCTACATATATATATTGGTTTGACATGGTAGGATGTAGAACCTCAGGAAATGAGAGTCATTTCCCCAATATAATGTCTGAACTTGTAGGTCAAACCTTAATATAGAATTTCCATCACTTATCTTTATCCTTTATCTCCTCACTGAAGAAGGATGCTTACCAGTATCCCAAGGCAAATTGGTTGCTTTCAAATGGCAACACTGACCAACTGGATATAGCTGCTGGAGTACAAGTGTTGAGAAAGATCACTGACTCCACCTGCAGTCAGGCAAGGAAGAGTTCAGTGATCAATTTAGCAATGTTTGCCATTGCCATTGCTATTTTCTTTTTTGGGGTGGGGAACGGGGCCTGGGGTTTGAACTCAAGGCTTTGTGTTTGCAAAGCAGGCACTCTACCACTTGAGCCACACCATTCATCCTGCTACTGGTATTTTTAAACTAATCTATGCTAAAGGACAAAAATTTACAAAACTTCTGTAGAGAGGTAAACAAGTCCTTGATAATTTGGAGTCAAGTCAGCTTTGTTAGTGCCTCATCAATTACTGCCATTCTATTTTTCTCTATATCCTAATGAATCCTTAGAAGGCAATGGCTACGAAAACAGATCTAGTTTATCTTAATCATCAATGAATTCTCAAAAATGTATTGAATTAAGAAATGAATAGTAAAAGGAGTACAGGCTTTCATGTCAAACAGAGCTATGTTCTCTTGTAACATGGAGGAGGACCAGAAGAGAAACAGACAGGCTGTGTTCTGATAATGAGGCAGGGGAAGGGATGGCAGAACAAAGAGATAAAACTTAAAGAATTGAAACATGAAAGTCACATAGCACTGGAGGAATAAAATAGCCAATGAAGTCACATGCAGCCATATGTGGGTTACACTTTGCTTTTTGCTTCTGTAACCTGCTTGCAAGGGTATATAAGGTAAGACCTCTTTGTTCTTAGGGCTCAGCCTTTGGACATGAGTCCACTGAATCTGTGCCAGCACAATAAAACATTGCTTCCTGCTAAACTGCCTCAGTGTCCTGTATCTCAGCTTGAGATTCCTGCAACACTCTTCTTAGCTTTTCCAAAGAGTGTGAACCTAGAGGAGCTATTTTACTTCTAAGCCTGTTTCCTCATCTATAAAGTGGAATGGTAACACTAATTTTACTGTTGATCATGTGAAACAAAATATGAGCAAGTACTGGGAGCACAACAGACAATACATGATAGCTCTTTTCCCTCCATAAGAACAACAATGGAGCCTGCAGAATTTTTTTCTTATATTTGCCTTGTCTTGTTCAAATGATGCTGTGGTTTTATTCCCTTCTTTTCTTTCTCATCATTAACACTAGCTTCAGGCAAGTTTATGGAAGGCAGCAACTGTGTGGATCATTTATCAAGCAGGACACATGTTAAACAAATGCAACACAGTTTTCTGTCTTCAATGCATTCAAAAAGATTATGCATGTAAATCTGTATCATGTCACTGCAGCATAACACAGAAATACTCAGGTTTGGAAAGAAAGCCAACTACATGTGAAACAGAAAGGAATTGTATAAACACTGAGAGGATTAGCTCAGCATTTTGAAGCTACAAACCTGGGTACTCTATGGACAGCTTATAAACTGGAGGAAAGAAATGTTTAGTTAGAGCTATGTGTTTAATATATACACCAGATGAGATCAAAAAATTCAAAAGACAATGTAACTTACACTTCCTTACTCTGTCCCTGTAAATGAACCTCTCTGAGATGCATGTTAAGCTTTTATCAAAACCCAGGGAACTTCAAGTTGGAAAAATGGCAAAGATGCTTTGGTCAAAAGATGAGGATATACTTCAACTTCCTAAGAAAAAATTAAACTGTTAATACCTCCTCCTGCCCCATAAGATTGCTCTGGTGGCCAATCAGGTGCTTCTTCTGTGAATACCATTTGCTATTTAATAACAGAAGTGGCTGGTACTGAAAAGCAATCTGCCTGATGAGGTCTTCAAGCTGTGTAATTAGGAGGCTATTCCCTAAATTGGCCCGAAGTGCCTATGGGATTAGAGAAGCAAGGCAGAGAGGCCTCCGTGGTTCAGAGGGGGCCAGTAAAGGAAAGAGTTGACAGTTTCCCTTTTTATCCATCTCTCTGCTCCCCAATAATACCATAAATGACTGCCTCCCTTCCATCAACCTAAGGATAAGAATTCACCCATTTAAGGAAAATTTACAGAGTGCTTCCATGTGCCAGGCACTGTGTCTGATGCTGGACACAAAGAACAAGTTAGATATGAGAACATTAGATACTTGGAATAGCTGGTGTGTGGTTGTAAGGAGACCGCCACTGAGAAAAAAACACAAATGCTCAGGATGCACTGAGTTCGGTACTCTAAAATTACTCAAATTTACCTATACAGTAGGTCTGAACATCCAAAACTTGGAACAGCATGGAGTGGGCTACATTACTGTCACAAAAACATTACAGCTGTACACATTAACAGTGCTCACCAGAAACCAGATCATATTTCAGGCTCCTCACCTCAAATACTGAAGACGCCTGATTCGGTTTTCATATAATGTGCCCAACTTCCACTAAAGACATGCTGCCTTTCGACAATCTAAACTTTTTATTTTACTACTTAAATTAAACATGTTAGATGCTCTTTTTGGCTTCAGAAAATTGCCATAACTTTTACCTTATTTTGGGGAAACCATTTGCTTTTGGAAGGCATACAGGGAAACACTCAGTAGATCACACATGATTTAAACATAACTAATGATAATGTGGAACTAACTGAGCTGTGTTAACACATGCAGGATTTTAAATTTTTTGTTTTTGAAATTTGTTTTTATTTGTAAAAGAATTTTTTGACCATGCTTGACCAAACTGCATGTAATAAGTCCACAAATAAGGTAGGCTTACTGTAGTACATTAATAGCTTACAGCCAGGCACCACTGGTTCACTCGTGTAATCCTAGCTGCCTGGGAAGCTGAGATCAGGAGGAACACAGTTTGAGGCCAGTTGGGGCAAAAAGTTTGTGAGACCCCATTTCAACAAGTGCTGGGCGCAGGGGTGCACACCCGTCATCCCAAGCTTCACAGGAGGTTGAGATTGGGAGGACTGCAATTCCAGTCAGGAGGAGGGAGAAGTTTGTGAGCTTTATAATTTCAATGGATTAAAGCTGGATGTGGTGATGTGCACCTGTCATCCCAGTGATGGTGGGAAGTGTAAAACAGGAGGATTGCATTCCAGGCCGACCTGGGCAAAAAGCAAGACCCTATCTCCAAAATAACCAGAGCAAAAGAGGGCTGGAAGTGTGGCTGAAAGGGTAAAGCACCTGCCTTACAAGCACGAATGCCTGATTCAAACTCTAGCACTGCCCAAAAAGCTCACAATCTGGTGAAAGTGAGATAGGGGAGCAATTAAGATCTGATAGATTAGGGAAGGCTTCCACAAGAAAATTATATTTATGTTGTGATCCCAAATATAGTAGCAATTAGCCAGCCAGAAGTGTTCCAAGCAATAGGAAGAGCATATGCAAATGCCCAAAAGATGTCATGGGCTTAGTATGTTTGAAGAACTGGACAACCAGTATAGGGAGAGCAGTGTGAAGGAAGATAGTGCCACAAAACTGGAAAGACTGGAAACAGGCAAAGGCCAGATCACATAAATCCTTCTAGGCCACAGTAAAGATTATGTAGTTTAATTTCTTATAGATTACTTGAAGCCACTGATAGACTTAAACCATAGAAATGATTCAATCCAATAAATCAATATGCACTTTTTTTTTTTTTTTTTTGGTGTTACCATGGTTTGAACTCATGACTTCACATTTGTAAAGCAGGTGCTCTACTGTTTGAGTCATACCTCCATTCCATTTTTCTCTGGTTGATTTGGATATGGGGGTCTCTCAGACTATTTGCCTGGGCTGGCCTTAAACCTCAATCCTCCCAATCTAAGTCTCCCAAGTAGCTAGGATTACAGCTATGAGCCCCCATTGCCTAGTTCTAATATATACTTTTAAAAGTTCACTGTGGTTACAGTATGAAGAATGGAATGTGGCTGTGATAAATAATAGCAACCCTACAAATGTGCCTGGCACACTAGCTACAAGAGTCCTCCAATTTGAAACAGTTTGTTCATAGCAAGGGCTTTCCCCTTTTTCCATCGCTGATGTAGTTTGTCATATCTAGCATATGTTCAAACTTTGATCTTTTTCTTTGGGGTAGAACTATTGAGAGAGATAATCAGAACAGGAAGATTTCTTACTTTCATGTTAGCATATGAAGAAACAGAGGCCCAGACAGTGAAACAATTTACCCAAAGTCAAACAGCAGGATGGAGGTAGAGATGGAACCAGATTTCAAGCCCTCCAGTACTCTTAATCTAGGCCAATTTCTAGTGGACCAATAAGGACAGGCTCAATTATCTTTCCTAACTAGATTTAACATCATATAGTCTAAAGGTTGCAATGATTTAAGGCAACCCATCCTCCAATCTTGGAAACTCTGTGCAATATTTGCAATGCTTAGTTTAATTTGAAAAGGAATGTGAATTCCTAGAGGGTCTACTCCAAATACTAATGCAAAGGTCACAAACTGGTGGCACTAAGGCCATATCTGTTTCATGTGTCTCTCCAGTTTTAAAAAGAGAAGTGAATTAGTCATCAATATTTAACAAAGATCATTAGCTTCTTCTAGAAATAAAAACCACAGTATCTGGTAACACTGATTACCAGGCCCACATTTCTGCCTGGCAATGATCAGCAAAAGCTGGGCAGAGATGCCCCACTCAGACAAGGCATAGACGCTCCAGGTTACCAGGGCCCCCAACATCAGCCAAACACCAATCATTGCATTGCCATATTGTTTTTCTTAGATGGGGTCATGTTAGAATTCAAATTATTACCTAGCCTCTACAGCATCAGAGTTTTAACAGAATAGGAATTTAGAAACATGAAGAGAGCTTTCCTTATTCTTAAGTTCCCTTTAGTTTAGTCTTCTCTCTTGTTTTATCCCAAGATATAAGGAAACTTCCTCCTGACCTGACCCAGCCTCCTCCATTCCAAAAGAGACTGTGGAGAGGGTCCCTTTCTTCAAAGCCATCTTACCTCGGGGAAACTGGCCATATTCACCAAAATCAGTTGTGGTGACTTCATGGAGATCTGGCCAATCTGATTTAAAGCAAGTTTACCATCAGCAGTTACCACAGTAATATGATCAAGGGATCCTAAAAGAAAAATTATAAGGTTTTAGAATTACAAAGGACCTTAGAAGCCCCACATCCTAAGTCCCTACCTAATTCAAATTTAACAAACATTCAAGGATCCCTTATCAATGTGACAAGACTGTTCAAGGGGCTTTGTAGAGACAGCAGTGTCATGTGACATGTGATGGAGAGAACCTGAATCCTTGACAGAACTAGGTTGGAATTCCTTACTAGCAACTAGGGTGAGCAACCATTCTCATTTCCCTGGACTTGAGGGGTTTCCTGTGACAAAGGCCTTTTAGAGCTGAAGCTATAAAGAACTGATGACCCTTTCAGCAACTCTGCCATTACTAATAATGAGACCTCTGTGGATGGAGTTACTTACCTTCTCTGTGCTTTGGTTTCCAACTTAGTTAAAAAATTACCTTACAGAACTAAAGTAAGGACTATAGCTAAATATAACTAACCATGTATGTAACCCATATCTGAAAAGTTGTCTCTTAGTATCCCTTTTGATTTTTAGAATCACCCTGTAAACACTGTATTACTACCTCCACTTTACAGATGAAAAAAATGAGACTTGAGAAGGATAAACAGACAAAAATCATAGAAATAACAAAAGGAAAATCAAGAGCCAAGACCCAAACTCAGGTGTGCTTAATTCCAATTTCAATCAAGGTTCTTTCCCTTATATGAGAAGATCTCAAATCTGGCTGTGGGGTTGGTGAAATGCCTCAAGTGGTAGAACACCTGCCTAGCAAGCATGAGGCCCTGAGTGCAAACTCTGCAAAAGCCTGCTAAAAAAAAAATCTGGCCATGCATCAGAATCAAGAGGACGATTTTAAATTTAGATTCTTGAACCCCACCTCAGAGACCATGCTCTGTAGAGGCTTTGAAAACCTGTTATTTTGAGGGACCTAGTAATTTTTTGTTTTTAATTCACTACATGATTTTGACCCACAGCCAGGTGTAGAACCACTCACTTATTATCACCCTTGATTCTGTGCTGGGATGCCCTTTAAAAACAAGCCCATTCAAAATAGTTCCTGCCTGGTAGTGAGGGGGGTAGGGGGGTAGAGGAAGGGGGCGGGGGTAAGGGAGGAGAAATGACCCAAACATTGTATGCACATATGAATAAAAGAAAAAAAAAGCCCATTAGCAAAAAAAGTAAGGGAGGGAGGGAAGGAAGGAGGGAAGGAGGGAGGGAAGGAAGGAAGAAAAGAAGGGAGGGAAAAGAAGATGAAAGAAAAGGTCAGGAGTGGTGGTGCACATCTATAATCCAAGCACAAGGAGAGACTGAAACAGGAAGATCAAAATTCTAGGCTGGCTATAGCCCAGATGAGACCCCATCTCAAACAAAACAAAGCAACATAAAATAAAACATCTATTTACAATTCATTTGTTATCCTGGATCTGATCATTTTCCATATCTGAATTCTGGAAAACTGAGCAAATTTTTCAGAAACCAAAGAAGGTAACGATTAAAGTCATAGCTACATATGGGACGTTATTCAAACTCCCTGGTTTACCATGCAAATAAAACTAGCAGAAAACCCTTACCAGTCTCAGTAGCAACCACTCATGAAGGGCTCATTATGAGACACAAGGGGGATGGGGGCCTTTAAAACAAATCAGAGTTGTTTTGGCAATATGTTGTTAGAATAATGCAATCATGCTATGACCCAACGATCTGATTTGAGGTACTCAAACAGATTCAATATCATCACAAACAGAAGGTTGCTGACTCACTAGTTTCAAACTGGAAAAGCCCAGAAGGTATAATGATAAAAGTCATCATGCTTCTAAAGACCAAAGACCTAAGTTCAAAAACCAACTTTGCCACTTCCAGATTGGCAGATTCCTCTAATCTTATAGGCCCCTGTTTCCTGATCTCTAAATGGGAAATAAAATTGTATTTATAGGGAGGATTAAATCAAAAAGTATATGAAAAATACTTATAACTGTCCCAATAGTGCTTACTATAAATACTTCTTAACATTTTTCTGTATTTTAACAAACTAATGTACTCTATAATACATTCTTTTGCCTCAGGACTTTTGCATATGATTTTCCTTCTACTGAGAATACCCTTCTCTGCTCTGACAACTCTTATTCACTTTTAAATACTCAGCTATAGTAGCATCAATATCAGAAATCTTCTCTGATCCTCTTAGCTGGAATACAGACCTCTCTTATGAGCCCCCAAGCATCCTATGCACACTTCAACAATGATGATAGCCTAAATTAATGGAACACTTCCTATGAGCAACACATCATGCTGAATGCCTTTTATAATTAATTTCCTTTCATTATTATAATTGCCCTATGAGATATTTATATCACTTTCACCATTTTACGGATGAGTAACTTGCTCCAGGTCACAACATCTCTTAATAATGAAACCTGAATTCAAACCCAGGCCCAACCATCTGCATAGCCATGTTTACTTGTCTGCTCTTTTGTATTAGATTCTAGGCCCTGAAAGGTGGGACTCTCTCTATATTCATAGCACATATTAAAATAACCAGCACAGCATAAGTACTCGATAATGTTATGGTGAATAAATGAATGGATGGATGGAAGGATGGACAGATGAAAGGGAAAGAAGACAAGAAGGAACAAACAAACCTGTTCCTCAGACAACTGCTGAAACATGTCAACTATCTTGGAGATAGAAATTTAGACAGATGGAAGTGTAAGAGGAAAAGTGCCTACTGACTCAGGTAGTAAGGAAAGGTGATATGGAAGAATCTAACAATAAGAAAAAAAGACTGGCTAAATTAAGCCTGTTTCATCCAGTTTCTTTAAGACCCCAAGTTCTACAAAAAACATTACCCAAACATAACCCAAAGAAAAAGAAGCAAAGAGGAAATACCAAGGAGAGGCCTTTTGAAAATGGATCTTAATTCAGCCTTCCTGATTTGCCATAAGATCCTTTGCCATAAAAGTCCCAACAAGGGCATTATAGTATGCAATTGTGGTAGTTCCCGTTCCCTAAATCCATATCGACATAATGCATCAAATCCTTTTCCCTCAATCTGTCCCTAGTGAGAATCTCCCTCAGCCTCATTCCTGCCCCCCATTTTCTCAGAGGTTAACATTTAACAAATTACACTCCCAACCTCTTTCCAGGCCCATCATCTTTTTAAGTTCAACAAGAGTGGAGTTTGCTGGCTAATTTTAAGTATCACATTTCTCCCTAAGCTCCTCTCAAACTGCTCTCTGGTTTCGACTGCAGAATGTTAACAGGCCAGAAAGCACAGGGGAGACAGAGTACTTTATCAGTTTCATACCTACAATAATAAGCAAGCTTAAAATAAACAGCTGGGCGAGATTGAATGGCATGCTGTACTGTCAGCAAAGGCAAAAATGCCCCAGTCTAAAGGCTGACAAATGACAAGAATGGCCTTCTAGTTTCACATTGTATCTCATCTCTGAACTCTGAATGTTTCTGATAGTGTTTACAATGAAGCTGTGTAGTTTTCACTCGGCTTTCTTAAAAACTAGTTCATGAAATAGTTTCTATTTTCCTTACAAAGTTCCCCAATCAAGACATGAATGGAAGCAGCCGAAGCTCCCACAGATATCTTCAGAGGGGGTCCCAGGCTTAACTATAGGATGATGACAATTTGCAAAAGGCCAATTTAACAGCAATTGGATTTTTCCTGCCTGCTTGCACCATTAGCTGACAACTCACTTCTTCATCACATCTGCAAACAGTTCTCCTAGACAGTTCTGACATTTCCCACTTAGGAAAGCCACTTTCAGGAAGCTATTACCCAAACGGAATCTTCCTGGTCAAGCTCGGGGTACAGAAAGATCTCAGGTGGGCAGGTTTGCAGTCATTTGATTCCCAGTAAAGGATAAGAACTGCCAAATAGGATGAACTGGAAAAAGCAGACCAAAGAACCTAAATTCCTAGATGTATTTATAGTATTTGCAATAAAATCTCCTATTTTTTGAGAGTATAATACTATGAGAATGATAACCATGGTTGTTTTTGTTCATTCCCTGTGCCCAGTTCATTATGCACTAACACAAACACTTACTGAATGAGTAAGTATAGTGTTAACCATGTGCCAAGCACTGCGCTAGAAGCATTATACTTCAATTATTTTAATTCACCCCAAATCAATGAGGTAGAAATCAAACAAGGCAACTGAGGACCTCAAAAGTAATTGCCCATGGTCACCAGTTAGTGCCAAAGCTGGAAATAAGACTGCCAAAAGCCATGCTCTTTCCACTATACACTACAGGTCAGTCACTAACCTGGTGAGGTCCTTATGTTGAGAGTCTTATTGAAATTCTCCTTGAGTGCTTCCATCACAGACTTCATTTCTTCATCCACCTCTTCCAAGTTGATTATATCTTCAACCAAAGCTATATTAATATTCACTCTGGTTTGGGAATGTCCCTTCCCTTTGGCTAGAAAGTCAACATTCAGTGAATAAAAAACACAACAGCGAAACAGTCAATAAGCATTGTTAACAAGAGCCTACTGTGTGCAGGGCAAAAATTTAAGTGCTAGAAATAATATTATAAAACACACCCTCTTTCCTATAAAAGAAATTGTATTCATTGGGTATCAGCTAGATACTCAGCATTGTGCTAAACACTTTCTCAGACATTAGTGAAGGCACAGGTTTTATGATTAGATATTCCAGGTTAAAATTCTGGTTTTAATGCATATTAAGTTGGGCCAAGTTACTCTCTCTTTCTGAGTATCAGGTTTCCAACCTGTGAAAAAGGAATAATACAATCTATATTGTGATTAAGTCAGTCAAACAACTAAAGAGTATTATACACGTGGCAGAGAATCCATAAGTGAATTAATACCTTATATTTCAGTGAAATGAACACAAGATGAAAGGTAAAGTGACTTGTATAATGTCACAGGTCAGGAAATGGTAATATCAAGACTTAGTCCCAGATCTCCCTAAATTTAAACCCATGAACTTCCCATTACACCATATCCATAAAATTTAATTGGAGAGGAAAACATTAATTTATTTAAAAAATAAATACTAACACAAGGCTATGTCCAATATTGGATGGCTGATAAATGCAAAAACAGTAGTTTAGAGACATTAAACACCACCTATGATAATAACCATGGCAAAGAATAAAATCTGAGTTTATGTCTAAACCATCATAGTGATTTTTCTGATACATTCTATAACATGTATGTGATATAAATATTCTTGCATTTCTTTATGAGGATAGGAAAGGGGAAAAATAAAATATTTAAGTAATATCTTTTTGCAATGAATATTTTATTATTTATTCATTAAACACCCAGCAAAAACACTGATTCACTTAAAAATTTTATTTAATATCTACAGTGAGCCCAATCCTGTGCAAGTTGTATAGCAAATCCTAATTTGCAATGCAATTTCAGGTATACTCTTCTATTTAATATTCAAGACAGCTCTCTAAGGTGAGAAAAACAGAGATTATTATTGTGCCCAGGGTACAGATGAGAAATCTAAGGTACAAGTCATTTAACTAACCAGTAAGCAGAAAAGTATTTTTTTAAAACTTTTATTTATCTGCTGTTGTCACCAGCATGCTCAGAACCCTATTGCTCTTGAGTTAGTAAACTAACGGGTTAGAATCTTTCAGAACTGATGAAAGATGCCAACTTTAGATTCAGAAACATGAATTACAAATAAGATAATAAAAGTAAGTCTGTATTTAGACATCTTGCAAATGAAGAAAACCAAGGACATAGATATCTTGAAAAAATGTCAGAGAAAAAGAATCAAAGGGCTCAAAATTTAGACTACTTTCCAAGAGCAACAGAAGCCAGAAACAATGAGAATATATCTTCAACTTTAGACTTTTTAAACGAAGTACACATGTCAAAAATTTAAAGATATGCCCATCGATATTAGAATTATGATAAATAGTGGTACTTAGGAATGAAATACCACACGTCACAAGAAAAAATAGTCTACAACTACAGAGAATTTAAAGAACACTCACAATGTTGAGAAAGAGGCCAGACACAAAATACAGACTGCAAAGTTAAAAAAAAAGTCAAATATGCCAGGTACCACTGACTCACACCAGTAAGCCTAGATACTCAAGAAGCAGAGATCAGAAGGATTGCAGTTTGAAGCCAGCCCCAGCAAACAGTTCATGAGACCCTATCTTGAAAATACCCATCACAAAAAAGGGGTTGGTAGAGTGGAGTGGATCAAGTGGCAGAACATCTGCCTAGCAAGTGTGAGGCCCTGAGTTCAAACCCTAATATCACCAAAAAAAAAAAAAAAGCCATATACAAGAATGTACATGCAACAGTACAAAAACAGACAAAACTAACCATGCCATACAAGTCAGAATAATAATTACTGCAAGAAGTAGAGGTAATACTTACTAGATATGAAGTGATACTTACTAGATGTGAATGTCTGGTGTGCTAACAGGATGCTATTATTTTGGTTTTTGCTGTGCTGAGTATCGAACCTATGGCTTATACCTGCTAGGCAAGCATTCTTCCACTGAGCTACATCCCTAGCCTCTGGATTTTTTAAGACAAGATTTCACTATGTAGCTCAGGCTGGTTTGAACTCACTATATAGCCCACACTACCCTCAAACTCACAATCCTTCTGCCTCAACCTCCATAATGCTGGGATTACAGGCATATACCACCATACCTGGCATATGATCTGCTTTTTATTTGCGTGTTGGTTACACAAGTGATTTCAGTTTGTGAAAATTATCAAGCTCCATCATTATGATGGCTACACTTTCCCATATTGCTTTTTTTATTCCTACAAAAAGGTTTAAAAAAAGATTAAGGGTAACTACCCAAAGAAAAATACTTATCTTCCAAATCAGCAGAGATGAAAAAGGGGAATAAAGAAATTCAATTAATTTAATGGAAAGGAAGACAAAGCAAAGAAAACCACAGAAATGAGAAAGTGCAAAATAAAATGATAAAAATGTAAATATCAGCAAATACAATAAACATAAATGGACCAAAATGACAAGTTAAAAGTTAGAGTTAGATTTTAACTTAGTCATATATGATATCCAAGAGGTTTTACAGATAACATTAGACCACAGAAAGGCTTAATGGACAGAAATGGAAAAATTATAACCAAATCCAGGCCTGGTGGTGCACACCAGTAATCCCAACACTCAGGAGGCTGAAGAGGAAAGATTGCAAATTCAAGGACAGTTCTGGGCTACATAGCAAGACATTGTCTCAAAAAAATTATAATCCTAGCAAATATTAACCGAAGAAAGGCTGGTATTATTATATTAATATCAAACAAAAAATATTTTAAGATAATTAGAAATAATGAGAGCCACTTCAAAATGATAATAGAAACAATTCACCAGGAAGATATATAACAATTCTGAGCCTAAATATAACCAGTAAGATTGACTCAAAATGAACAGAACTAGGAGAAGAAACTGTTGACTCTACAGTCACACTAGGAGACTTTAATAGATCTTGCTTTTTTCTTTTTTGTTTTTTTTTCATGGATGTACTGGGGTAAAAACTCAGGCCCTTGCATTTGGTAGGCAGATGCCCTACTGCTTAAGCTGTCCCTCCAGCCCAATATTGTTTTCTTGATAACTAATAAATTGAACAAACAAAAAAGTAAATAGAATTGAGAACAAAATTAGTCCAACCTGATCTAATGAACATATATAGAAACATGCACCCAAAAACAATAGAATACACATCATCCTCAAACATGCTTGGACCTTTATATGAAATACCCAGGGCTTATCCCATGAAACAAATCTCACCAAATATCAAAAATCTTGGAGTGGAGGTGTGGCTCAAGCAGTAGAGTGCCTGCTTTGCAAGCGCAAAGCGCTGCATTCAAACCCTTGTCCCACCAAAAAACAAACAAAACCTATAAGGAATGTGATAAGGCCAATTATAGATAACTATCATAACATGTCAATATTTAAGAACAAATTAGTCTTGAGCTTTTGTGCTGGGTGCCAATGGCTCACACCTGTAATCCTAACTACTCAAGAGCAGAGACCAGGAGGACTGCAGTTTTAAGCCAGCCCGGGCAAATAGTTCGTGAGACCCTATCTCAAAAATACCCATCAGAAAAAAGAACTGTTGGAGTGGCTTGAGGTGTAGGCCTTCTATTCAAGCCCCAGTACACACAAAAAAAAAATCTCTATCATATGTTCTCTGACCACAGGAGGATTAAGCTTACCACCAAATAACCATATGTCTGAGAATTTTTAAACATTTCTCAATAATAAATACTCATGGACTAAAAAGAAATAAATAAAAAATTTAAATATCTCTAATAAACAATCATGGGCTAAAGAGAAATGCATAATAAAAATTTTAAGTATTTAGAAATGACCATAATAAAAATATTAACAAAAACTTGTAGGAAGTATTCAGTTATATTTAAATAGAAATTTACAGTCTTAAGTTCTTATAAGAAAAAGAACAAAATATTATTCACAATAGTCAAGACATGGAAAACAAGTGGACTGTCTGTCAAGGAACCAAATGGATAAAGAAGCTGTTGATGTATTTATACAACAGAATATGAGGCAGCCTTTAAAAAACAGGAGATTGTCCCAGGTGCTAGTGGCTCATGCCAGTAATCCTAGCCACTCGGGAGAAGCCCAGGCAAATAGTTCATGAGACCTGCATCTCCAAAATAACCAGAGTAAAAGGGCTAGAGGTGTGGCTCCAATTGGTAGAAAGCCTACTTTGTAAGTCTGAAGCCCTGAGTTCAGACCCAGGTACCACAGAAAAACAACAACAAAAACAGGACATTGTGCCTTTTGCCATAACATGCATGAACCTAGATGACAGTATGCTAAGTAAAATGAACCAGACACAGAAGTACTGCATGATCTCACCTAAATGTGGAATCTTAAAAAATATATCACTGAATACACACAGACATAATAAAACAGGGAGAGGAAATGGAGAAACCAAAGAATACCAAGAACAGATACACAGTCCTAACATCTAATACACATCACGAAACCTTTAGTAAATAATATTGTTTTGTATTCGGGATTTTTGCTGAAGAAGACTAGGTCCTCTTGCCACAAGTAATCTGAACAAGTACATAAAGTGATGAACATGTTCATTTGGTTGGTTATAAGTAATTATCTCACTACATGCACAAGAAAACATCATGTTGTACACCGTAACTACATACAATGAAAGTTTAAAAAAGGAACAAAGCCCAAAAAATTAATGAACTTTTGGCTCAAGGGCTAGTAAAAGAACAGAAATCAACAAAATAAAAGAGAACCACAAAACTGCTTTTTTAAAAGGCAATTTTATAAAATTGACAAGCTTCTGACAAGAACAACTGTGGAAAAAAAGAATAAATAATGTTAAGAAAGAAAAGAGGAACATAGTTATCAAAGCAGCAGAAATTTTAATAATCTTAACAGACTGTTACGGACTTTAGGTCAACAAGTTTGAAAACTTAGAAAAAATGAATTTCCTAAAAACATGAAACTTATTAAAACTAAGACAAGAAGAAAGAAAAAATCTAAGTAGTCTCATAATCTTAAAGAAAGTGAGGTTGGGGGTGTGGCTCAAGTGGTATAGCACTTCCCTACCATGCATGAGGCTCTGGGTTCAAGCTCCAATACTGCATTAAATTAAAAAAAACAGAGAAAGAAATTAAATGTATGATTTAAAGTCTACCATACACATATACATACCATATCCAGATGATTTTACAGGCAAGTTCTACCAAATAGGTAAGGCACTCATAGTTGATTTTACAGACCACCCCATTATGAGAAAGACAGATGGACACCCCAACTCACATCATGAAGCTAATATAGCCTTGATACAAAAATCAGAGAATGACAATAACAGAAAGGTATGCCCATCAATATTACAAAGTTACATTAAGGCTAATCCCACATATAAATATAGACTCAAAAATCCCAAATACAAAACAACATTATTAACTAAAGGTTTCGTGATGTATATTAGATGTTGGCACTACATATCCTAAGTATAGGCACAATAAATTTAGTAATCTGCCAGGCACTGGTGGCTCACACCTGCAATTCAAGCTACTCAGGAGGCAGAGATAAGGAGGATCGCAGCTCAAAGCCAGCCTGGACAAATAGTTTGAGAGCCCCTATCTCGAAAAAACCCATGACAAAAAAAGGGTTTGTGGAGTGACTCAAGGTGTAGGCCCTGTGTTCAAACCCCAGTACCACAAAAATAAATAAATCTAATAATCCATATACAGATTATGTATCAAGCAAGATGTATATAAATATCAAGAACAAGCAGAAATCATACCAAAAATGCAAAAGTGGTTCAACATCAGAGAAGTTACTAATGTTGCATTACTACATTAATAAAAGAGAGGGAGGGATGGGGACGTAGCTGAGTGGTAGAGTATTTGCCTAATATGTGCAGGGCCATAAACTTAATCCCTAGCACCGGAAAAAAAAAAAAGGTTTGGGGGGGTGGAGTGAGGGGAAACTATCTCAATAAATATGACAATGGCATTTGATTAAAATTTAATTTAAAACTAGAAAGTTTTTCACTAAAAAACTTTTAGCAAAATAAAGATATCTCCTTAAAAGACACTATCAAAAACAGGCCCAAAGCTGTGACTCAAGTAGGAGAGCACCTGCAAGTAAGAGGTCCTGAATTCAAATAATTCTTGATATTAACGTGTAAGAAATATTTACTTTAAAGTCAGGAATAAAACAAAGATGGCTACTAATACCAATCACATTTATTCAAATTACACAGGAGTCCCTAGCCAATTCATTGGAGAGGAAGGAACAAACAGGAGACGAAGGGAAGGAAGGGAACATATGTGTATACATATGCAGCAAAACACTTGTGCAGAATGTTCATAAGAGTATCATTTGTTTTAACTCAAAACAAGCAGCAACCCAAATATCCATCAACTGTAGTTATGGGTACATAAATTGTGGTATGTGCATGCAGTAGAAAACTGTAAACAAATAATGGGCCAAGGGTAGCCTACATAATCCCAGCTACTCGGGAAACAGAGATAAGAGAATCTCAGCTGAAGGCCAATTTGGAAAAAAAGTTAGGGAAACTCTATCTCAAAAAACAAGCCAAGCATGGTAGTACATGTCTGTAATTCCGGCTACTTGAAAAGCAGAGATGGGAAGATCTTAGTTCAAGGCTAGCCCAAGGCAAAAAGCACAAGACTATCACAAAAAATAACTAAAGCAAAAAAGGGCTGGGACATGGCTCAAGTGATAGAGCACCTACCTAGCAAGACCCTGAGTTCAAACCCCAGCACTACTGAAAAAAAAAAAAAACTTATCAACTCTCTGCGTCACTTACAATTTAGGTATGTACCTTCCTGTGAAGTATTATAACTAAAAATAAGTTTTCAATGCATCACATGTAAAAGTAACAACAATGATATGATACCACAGAAATAAATCTGATCAATGAACTGTGCAAATCTTTCTGGAAAAAGTTGACAATGATTATAAATTTCATATAGAAGAACAAAAAGGCAAGAAGAAAATGAAAAAGTATATGTCTAACAGGGGGTGGGATATTTATACCACTAGATTCATGACTTTATGACAATGTTTCAGGCAGTCAGTAATTTAGTGCAGACAGAAAGTAGTTTGACAAAAACAGACCTCAGAAACAAAACTGTACATATAAAGAAACTTAACAGAGGGGCCATTACACACCTAGATGGGCTACAAGTAAAGATGAAACAACTCAGGATCCATATAGAAAAGAAGCTTAGTCTACAGCCATACCACCCTGAACACGCACGATCTCGTCTGATCTCGGAAGCTAAGCAGGGTCAGGCCTGGTTAGTATTGGATGGGAGACCACCTGGGAATACTGGGTGCTATAGGCTTTAAAAAAAGAAAGAAAAAAAGCTTAAAATTATAATTCTTAACATACCATTTTCAGGTATAAATTATCTTGGGACAGGAAGGACTTCTTGAAAAAAGACACCAAAAGCACAAATGATAAAGGAAAGAACTAAAAATTATAACTACATTAAAACTTATTTTTAAGAAAGATACCATAAAACAGTAAAAAAGCAAAGATACTTACAATCATCAATGGATTTGTATCCCTAATGCAAAAAGACTCCAATAAATCTAAAAGAGAAAGCTAAACAACCAACTTTTTAAGGAGGCAATCAAAGAAGACAGAAGAACTGAACAGCCCAGAGAATATGAAAAGATGCTGCTCACAGGCTGCAGTTAATGTCAGTGTTTAGAAGATTGCAATGCTACAGGCTTCAGGAAACCCAGATTTCCAGCTCTTTCACTAATTAGATAAGATCATGGGCAAAGTTTTTTCCAATATGTACCTCAGTTTCCTTATTTCAAAATGGTAATATCCAGATTCACTAGGTAAGCAGAAGCGTTTCTTCACTAGAAAATTATAATTTCTTCAATGCATAAATGACAAGGATTGAATTAGCAAATATACGGAAACATTAAAAAACAGATGTAACATACAGATCAAATGTTATTATCACTCTTAACAGAATATAAGTCTTCTAAGAATTAAAGGTCTTTAAACAACTTATTAATTTTCCTATTAACAAAAAGGTGAAGGTATCCATGAAACCAAAGGGAAGCCAGTGGGAAAATAGTGAGCAGGGTATTTCTAGCACCATCCTTGAGAGCAGACTATCTGATACAACACTGAAAATTGTCACTCATTCATTCATCTAACAAAACTTATGAATACATCATATTATGTGTCAGATCCTAAGAGGTGCTAAATAACAAAGGAAGAGAGTTGATCTTCATGGGTCCAACATGGAAAGCAATACAATACAAGCATGGAAAACAAACAATGATTTTAAGACTGATTAATTAATTAATTACTGCTGTTCTAAGTGTGTCAGAGGTAAAATAACAGTCTACACAAGTACATGTAACAGGGGACCTGACCTAGCCTAAGAGGTCAGGGAAGGCTTGCCTAAGGAAGTTAACATTTAAACAGGGACCTGCGGTACATCAAAATCTCATTCTTAGATGACACAAGCCATTAAGATCATCCATCTAAATCCATGGCTCTAATACCCCCTTTACCCAAAAACCTTCTGGTTTTAATTATATTTCCACCATGCATCTTTCTAAAGAGAGAATATGCTGATGCCCAACACGAGCATTCTGGTGTGCTTGACACTTACACCTTTAATTCTAAATCTAAAAGACTAAATTAGGCATTTTCTGAGCCACCAAAAAAAAAAAAATAAAATAAGGCAACATGGTAATAAGAAAACAGGACCTGAGGGCTGGTAGAGTAACTCAAGTGGTAGAGCACCTGCCTAGCAAGGTGAGGTCCTGAGTTCAAACCCAAGTACTGCCCCCACACCCCAAAAAAAAGAAAGAAAAGAAAACAGGCCCTGTGTCTGTCATTGTGACCTTTTAAGCTATGCAACTGAACTGTCTGAGACATCATTTCCTCAGACAAACAAGGAAAGAAATTCAGTATATCTCTGTGATCCCCACCAGTTATGACAATTCAAGGGCTAAGTACAAAGGGTAAGAAGGAGAAGGCCAATCAATGTCTCTACCTTTGGCTTTCTTAGTTGCAAAATGGCGAATTGGTACAACTGGAAAGACCACGTATTGCCTATGGTCGTGTTGTCTTCCACTCACTGTCTTCATTGTAATTTCTGAAACAGGTCTGGTCAAGGATGCAAAGTAACTGCAAAAGGCAGGGTGGATCAAGCGGAAGCATTTTAATCCCAAAGCCATGACTGAAGACGATCCACTAAAAAGAATAAAGACAAAAAGGAGATCTAAGTAAAAGAGACCTCACTGTAATTTCAGAAAATAATTCTTACCAATTATCAATTCATATAAACTGAACTATGTATTACAATTTACTTTTTTAGTTGTGCAGGGGGGCTTTCAGTGTGACGTTTACATATGCACTTATAATGTATCCTGATTAGATTCACACTCTCCATCATCCTTACTCCCCCTTCCTTCCTAGAACAATTTCAACAGGTTTCATTGTTCTATAGTCATATACATACACAAAGTACATCAACCACATTCTCCCTCTTTCACCTTCTGTTTACCCTCCCCCCTCCACAAACAGGAATTGTTTTACCTCCCTGCCCTTCATTTTTTTAAGTGTACATTGATTGTTCAAGGGGGTTTCACTGCAGTATTTTACATGTGCATATATTGTACTTTAATCAGATTAACTCCTTCTATTGCTTACTGTTGACCTGCTCCCCTATTATTCAATAGCTTTCATGTACTAGGCAATTTAAATGCATTATCTCTAATCCTCCTTCCAACAACTATAGCAGGAAATACTAGTCTCATTTTACAGGATGAACAAACTGAGGCACACAGAGACTTAAATAACTTGCCCACAGCCTGTAGCATGCAGAACCCCATGTTCTTTTCCACTGTACCAAAATGCCTCTGTTAAGCAAATGTGCAGCAGCCTAAATCTTTAATGATGCTAATTAAACCCTAACATAAGAAAAAGCATAAAATCTTGACAAAGTTTAAAGAGAGAGGGCAGAACATGGGAAGACTTCAAACATAATAAGAAAATCATTTCAACAGGCATAAAATGACTGGAAAATTTACATGACAGCATTTAATTAAAATTTTCTTTGGTTCCTTATGCACTGATTACCAATTAAAACACACTTTAATGGGAGTCTGAATCATGAATGAGGTTTGAGGTCTTCCATAGTATAATAATAAAGCTCTGGAAAACGCACCCTCCACGAGGTTAACACAAGTTATATAATTCTGAGGTCTTTAACCATGGCAAGATATTACTGCATAAAACTATCTCGGAGACAGGACACAGTCTTAGCCAACGAATGTAACATTAATAGCTCTACCAGGAATCTGAGTATCACTCAGATAAAAATTAAGAACAATTAGCATCAAGTATCTGGAAGCTGCTCTTTGAAAATCAGTCCCACATCTCATTAAAAAAAAAGAAAGTCCTAAAAATTTGATGCAGTATAATAGAATGAATAAAAGCATGGGCTTGGCAGCCAGGAAAACCTGGACTCCAATCCCAGTTTCACCACTGACTAAGTGCTCCTAAATGTCTTTGCACCTTGACTTATTTCTTACTTATTTCTTAGAGATGAGAATAATGAAGTTAGGCAGGTAAAACACTTGGCATAGTACCAATTATATGCCTTTTTACTATTCATTTTCTTTTCTTTAAAAAAGAAGCAATGATAACAATAGCCACATTCATTAAACAGCTACCATATTCCAACCAGTGGGCTAGATGTTTTATATACATTCACTATTTCATTTTACTTTAAGATCAGGGCTATTTTTCTTATTGATGAGGAAAATAACACCCAGGAAGAAAGAATTATCTAAAGCAAAAATCTGTATCCATCTCTGACTGACTCCAGGCCACCTTATACATCAGTAATGACATGTGCAAGATTTCTTTATTATTCTAACCCTGGCATCAAAGTCTTTGAAAGAAAAGGTAAAGCTATTAAATAATTTCTCCTGGTGGAATATTTAATAGCAAGTAATTCTAGATATCAAGAATCAGTGTGTGAAGTCCATACAGATCTGGATGAAAATGGAAGGAGTATTTTTCCCCTCCTTTAATTATTAGCAATAGCTACTATCCACTGAGGTCAGGCCTGGCTGCTTGCTTTACCTATACTGTTTCATTTAATCCTGTCAATGATGCCACAAAGAAAATATAATTCCCATTTCACAGATGTTGAAATGGAGGCTAAGAAAGATTAAGTCACTGTCCAAGAACATGGCGCTAATAGCCCAGGTCTATTTAAGAACTGTTCACAAAAGCTTGGCTCCAAGTGAGGTTTCTAAATCTATGTTTCTACCTAATATAGGGAGTGCCTAATTCACACTTATATCCAAATATGGCTGTATAATGCATAGTATTTTATTTTTTAATCTGGCTGCCCCATGTATGACAGGCTTCCTGATGTTCTTGTTGCAGGTCAGAATACCAATCCACAAAGCAACAGGAAATCAAAATGGGTTAGAAATAAATAACCTTTGACAGAAAATGCAGTACCTAAAAGCAAACCCAGCAAACCCAGTACACATGAACCGGAAGACAATTCTATATATAAACCACATTGCTGAAATGCTTGAAGCATAGATTTTAATTACGTAGAAGTGAGGAAATTTCAAAATGGAAGCTTAATAAAGGCAGTCCCTTGGATCTTTTATCTTAAGGACACACACATTAATATTCACTTCAGCACAGGTGAAGAATTAAAGTTGAGGAAAAAAAATTTGTCATAAGAGTACAAGTATTATCCAATAAAATTAACCCATACACAGAAGCAATGTGGCAAAAGTGTCTGAGCTTTAGGTATACTCTGGAATTGGAATCTCAGTTCCTCAGTTACTAGATGTATGTCTTCAACAGGTTTTTTTTTTTTTTTTTTTTTTTGCGGTACTGGAGTTTGAACTTAGGGCCTTCACCTTGAGTCACTCCACCAGCCCTATTTTTGTGAAGGGTTTTCAAGATAGGGTCTCCTGAACTATTTACCCCGGCAGCTTTCAGCCATGATCCTCCTGATCTCTGCCTCCTGAGTAGCTAGGATTACAGGTGATTTAGCTTTTTTGACCAACAGCTTCCACCATATCATTATGAAGGTGATGAGTTTTTAAGAAGATAATAAGGGCTGAGGTACATATAACTCAAGAGGTAGAGCACTTGCCTAGCAAGTGAAAAGGCCCTGAGATCAAACCCCAGTACCACCAAAAAAACAAAAAAAAAAGATAATTAACACTAAAAACAACAGCTAAGAGTTATACAATGATAACTATGTTACATAACTATTCTAAGTGCTTTACATACATTAGAGTCTCAAGATAACCCTGTAAGTACTATTACTGTTACCATTTTACAGATAAAAAAACAGAGGCACAAATAAGTTGCCCAAGATTTGAACTAAGAAAATCTAGCTTCAGTCTGTGCTCTTAACCACTATACTATGCTGTGTACATAAAGCACTCAGTACAAAGTCTGGCATCCAGTAGGTATACAAAAAATAGTAGCTATTATAATATTCCAATTGTTGAAATATTTGTAAGCTGCTTACATTATTTTTCCTAAGCTGAGGGTCTCAAAACTTGAATTTCTCTGTTCATCATAAAGTACATTTCAATTTTGGAAAGTCCTGGCTTATTCATTGTCCTTGCAACCCCTTTCAAACCAGCTGTGCATTAACTCACAATATGCACATTTTTTTCTTTTGGCAGCACTACGGTTTGAACTCAGGCTTCATGCTTGCTAGGCAGACACTTATATATGAGCCACTCCACCAGCCAATGCACATTTTTATAAATGTGTGTACATTCAGGACTTTGTTTTATATAAAATGCTTTCACATGTGTTATTATATTTGATTACCTTCCAAGATGACTGATCTTTCATTTCCTCACAGGCTCCTCCTGCTCAAGGTCTTCAAATATGACACTGAATCTGCTTGAGATGATCTTCCCTCACCTCTCTACCTCCCATTTTTCTTTCAGATTTCAGTATACTATCACTTTCTCAGAGCACATCTTCCTTGGCTACCTCCACCAACCCAACTAAGTCACATGTACTACAGCCAATTTTACAACACTATATATACTTCATCATAGCACTTAATTTTTAACAAGTTAATATTTGTGTAATTGCCTAAATTCCTCCATATGACTACTGACACTGCAAAGACTAATATAGTAAAACAACCTATCTACTATTAACCTTACTCACTACTATATTCTCTGTGCCTAGCACAGTGGTTAAACATAGAAGACCCTATACAAATGTGAAGACCTTGCCCAGGGTCAAGATTAGGGCACCAGAGTTGAAATCTACATTTCTGATGGAGGTCATGGGCTCTCCTTTCCAACACTGCCTCCATTAGCCCTTGGTTTTCCTGATTTTTGCTCAAAGAGAATAGTACATGTTCTCTAAACTCAGTATCATGTAACAAAAGGTATTTGTAATACCTGACTCTACACAGTATCATATCGACCTTGGCACAATCAAAGAAGGGCTATGAAAACTAACAAATGGACAAAGAGTTTTTGCCTAAGAGCTATATCATTACTTCCTGCCATCTGCCTCCTTTAGATACATACTACCCATATTCAAAAAGCATTTTTGGAATCTCTTACTGTCTTGTGTCTTGTGTCAAATCATTTCTCCTACCTAGGTTTTAGTTCAACTATAAAATGCAGGGCTCGGGAGGTAGAGGCAGTATATCATGAGTTCAAGGCCGGTCCAAGCAAAGTTAGTAAAACCCTGTCTCAAAAGCAAATTAAAAACAAAAACTCAAGTGGTAGAGTGCTTGCCTAGCATACTGGGGCCCTGGGTTAAATCACCAGTTTCAGATATAGATAGATTCCCAGTTCTAGATTAGATCAGATAAGATAGATAGATTATGTAAATGAAGAAAGGCTACTGAAGGTGTGGCTCTAGTGTGTGGCTCAAGTGGTAGAGCGCCTGCTTTACAAGTATGAAGCCCTGAGTTCAAACCCCAGTCCCACCAAGGAAAAAAACAAAAAGAGTAAGAAGGGCTACTGAATAACAACTTTTCCCACTGGACGGTACTGAGTAGTGATTAGAAGTTCAGGCTAGGTCTGACTGGCAAAGTTATCTGAGCTTCCGTTTCTTCATCATGGGAGAGAATGTTCTGAAAATGCAATGTTCCTGTCAGGTGACACGCTACTAAATAGCAGCTATTTACAAAGTCCTTTGACATCTCCCTAAATTCCTAGCTAATGAGACAAGCCCCGCCCCCACCCGTGAGGCTCGCTGAGGCCCTAGATCCCGCCCCCAGCCATAAGGTCAATCCTGATTCGAACTGAATGCGTCAAGGGCGGTGGTCCTGTTCCCTGAGTTCCTGCAGAGGTCCTCGAATAAGGGTCTCTGGTACCTAGACCCCATGCGCGCCTCGAGACCCCTCGAGGCCACTCACCAACTATCCACCCGATTACTATGGAAAGACTCGCGTCGGCGGTGATGGCGGCGGCGCGGGCGTCATGACGTCATGGGACGGCGCGGCGGCGCAGACGTATCGCGTCACGGGCAGTCTGGTAGCCGGCGGTGTGTAGGCGAACGCGGCCAGACGACGTCCGTCTGATACGGGCGTTGAGACCTGCTTTCGGGGCATGAGCTGAGGGCACCCGCCAAGGCCACCAGGTGAGTCCGGCCGTAGTATTTCCCTACGCCCCAGCGCCAGCCCAGCGAGGAGGTCTTAGAAGGGGCTGCCCTCGCAGAACTACTGTCAGGCCCCGCCCCGGATTGTCCTGCGGCTGGCCCGGAAATAACAATTGGAGTAATGACCCCTCGCCTATGGGAATTTGCAGCCAGTAATTGTGAAGCCGGGATTCCAGGCTTGACGCGCTGTTAGCTTTTAGGAACTTGTGCCTTTGCTTCTCTGGTATTCAGTTTTTCCGGAATAACTATTCTTGAATTCCAGGGTTGTTGCCGTTCAACCGGGAGGATAGAGGTAGATGAGTTGGGTGAACTCTTTTTCTAAGAGACTGTCGCCATTGCAAATCCAAAGACTTTAATAGTCTCATGCCTTCTTGATCTTTTATGACACTTTACCGATTCTCAAAAAGCCTTGTGCTGAGCTGTCATCAGTATATACTTAATGAAAATGACCGCATGAGATAGGGATAATTGTCCTTATTCTAGGAAGGAAAAAAACTGAAGCTCCAATAAGTGGCTTGCTTAACTCATTCGCTCAGTAAATATTAAGCATCGACCATGAGCCAGGTAGTACACTAAGTGCCGGACTAGGACTGGAGGAGTGGCTCTAGTGGTAGAGTGCCTAGGCAAGTACAAAGCCTTGAGTTCAAACCCCAGTATCCAAAAACAAACTAAGTGCTGGGGACAGAACCATGAACAAGGCTGGCAAGGCCCTGCCCTCTAGGAATTTACATTTTAGAGAGGGAGACAAAATAAAACGTTAAATAACTCACCGAATTCGCATTATATGAGAAGAAAAAAGTGGCTGTGATACAGAATAACAGAGGGCTCTATTCTGTTAGGAAAAACTTTCCTGTGGAGAAGACACTTAAAAGGAGATCATGTAACTTACTAAGGTAACACAGTAACTAGGTTCAAAAGTGAGGATTTGAAACCAGATCTCTCTAGCCCCATATCCTGCATTTTTCTCATTAAAACATGGTATCTTTTTCAGTATAAAGTAGCTTTTGATATTACTGCTTCTTTTCAGTGTGAGAGCATCAGAAGTTTCTGTCATTTGGATGTCAACCCAATGTCTGCCTTCCCTTTCCATTCAAAGTAGTTCACCCTGCTTAATTGTGTTTGCAGCATTGACTACTAGTCTTATATCTTTTGCTTTTGTATTGTCCTGCTCCCCCTTTCAAATTTAAGCATCCTGCAAGCAGGGACTTTGTTCACCGCTCTGGCCCCAGTATTTAAGTAGACAATGCCTAGAAACTTGAAACTTGGTATTTTTTTTTAATGGGTGACCTGTAAGAAAGTAGGGGGAGAAAAAGCAGAGAAAAGACAAAAATGTTTGTCATGTTTCTACTGCTGGGATTCTATTTATGTCTGGTTCACCTTTCTCTAGGAGTTAAGAGCAGGACTGATAGTTTATTCTTTTCTCTTTTTTTAGTTCATGGTCTGTGGTTTAACAATTCATAGTTGTCATACCACATTGCTGAACAGATTAAAGATGTGAGTGTAAAAAGAAGAAAAGTAACATTATGTGCAGGGAATAGATGTTTAAGAAATAATTCACCCAGGGACTGCAGTGTACTAGACTTTATAGGGTATGCTGAGATGAATGAGAGGTAAGAGCAAGCCCGATTGATGGCTCAGGCCTGAAATCCCAGCATTTGGGAGACTGAGGTAGGAGGATGACAAGTTTGAGGCTAACCTGGGCTACATAGCAAGTTCTAGGTCAGCCTGACCTACACAGGGAGACCCTGTCTCAAAAAAAGAAGGAAAGAAAAAGAGGTAAGGGTAGTGTCAATGTATGTCAGCTGCTGTTATGACACAGTTCCTACAGTGCTGGAGCTCTGGGGTACTTCCAGATATATAGGACACGTTTTTCCTAGCAGGGAGGTCTGAAATCTGGCATAGCCTGGCATCTTCCCAGCTCCTTTATCTTTTCTTTGTCTACCATATTATACATTTATTAAAATTTTCTTTTTCATTTGTCATCTCATTTTTGATCCTCTCAGCAACCTTAACTTATTAACACAGCAAAGTTTATTCTTAATGATAGGGAAACTGAAACTCAGAGAAAAATGACTTCCAATGGAAATGCCACAATTTGAAAACAGGTTTTTCTTACACCAGGCTTTCTGAGCTTTCCATTACTGTATCCATCATAACCCTCATTCTTCTTGGCTGTGAGATGAGCTAGTTCCGGCACTAAGACTCATAATAATTTGCCATTCTCTAGCGCTTCCTAGGAACCATGAAGTATTTTCAATGCTTTAGGGGTATTATTTTAAATGCTTTAGGGGTATTGACTGAGTGAATCTGCACACCTTTATGAAGTATTATTCCTGTGTTACTGATGAGTAAACCAAGGTAAAGAGTGTTAAAGTAACTTGCCCAAAATTATACAACTAGAAAATAGTAGAACTGGAATAATTAAGGAGGAAATTAGTCTCTTCCCAGACTCTCCCAAAATATTAAATATGATAATAGCTAATATATATTGGTTAGTTACTGTTGTTAGATACAATGTTTAGTGGTTGTTCATGTACTATCTTTAACCACATTAACCCTATAAAAAGAACTATTATCTCCATTTTTATATATGAGGAAGTTAAGGTCTAGAAAGTGGAGATTATTCAGAAAATCACAACCTGCTTTCAAGCTCACCTCTGACTCCAAAATCTGTGGACAGATGTCCTACGTTGCCTCTTCCCTTTGTTGAATGCCTTTTTCATGAGGAAAAGGGATATACTGCTATTTCTTTTCCTACCTATCCCCTTTGACTTCATTGACACTGTCTTCCTGGTGGTTTCCAAGGCTTATTTTGGGTAGTAATTGTTGAACTCGAGTATCATGTAGTAAGAACTTTGGCCTCCAATCCAAGGAAAGCTTGAGATTCTCCACACAACGACACCTCTTCTGCTTTAAATGTCAGCTTCTGTGCTCTGACTACCAGAGGAGCTATCCTAAGGGAACTGGTCTTGTTGTAGAACAATTGAGGCCTTTAAAGGACTACCTAGAGGACATGCACTCCTTAGATAAATGTTTGTTGAGTTAAATGTGAAGTCTCATGTTCACACAGGGTTTCTCCTCTCCTTCCTGAATATTCACATTGCCTTTAGTATTTCATAGAGATTGATGGAAGCAGAAACCAAAACTCTTCCCCTTGAGAACGCATCCATTCTTTCAGAGGGCTCTCTACAGGAAGGGCACCGATTATGGATTGGCAACCTGGACCCCAAAATCACAGAGTAAGTCTAAATCATCTTAATTTATTGCCTACAAATTTGGGATGTTGGCAGTAATGATGTTTACAAGAATTTCCAAGGGGTGTAGGATTTATTCTGAACCTTTCTCTTTGAAGGGCATGTGATATTATTAGCCTGTTATCTTGTCATTTTTCTTACATTTGTACTCTGCTACTGTAAGGGCACAGACTTGATTACCCTTTAAAATAATACCTCCTTTTTTCCTACTTGGCAAAACTGTTCTCCCATTTTCACATATTTGAATCATTATACCCAGTGGCTATAGGGAATTATTTTCTAGAATCAGCCTTAGCTGTATTTTGTCTCCCAGAATGAAGAAACAAGCAGAATTCTCAGGACCTCTTCAAGCAGTCAGAGGAGTCCTGCTTGACTATAATTTCTGTAAGCAGCCCAAACCATAGACAATGATAGTGGGAAGGGATTTTATAGATTATCCCAGTCCCTTTGGTTTTCTTTCGTTCATTAAAATGATTTGAATAGCCAGGAGCTGGTGGCTCACACCCATCATCCTAGCTACCTGGGAGTCTGAGATTGGGAGGATCACAGTTCAAGACCAGTCTGGCCAAAAGTTAGTGAGACCCTATCTCAACAGGCAAAAGTTAGGCATGGTGGTATGCTTCTGTCATCCCAGTGACCAGGAAACGTAAATTGAAAGATCATGGTCCAGGCCCACCTGGGCAAAACAGCAAGACTCTGTCTCCAGAATAACCAGAGCAAAAAAGGGTAAAGCAGTAAAGTGCTTGCCTAACCAGTACAAGGCCCTAATTTCAAAACCCAGCTCTGCAAAAGAAAATCAAAAAAAGAAAAAAGAGTTGAATGCCATTTTGTGCTAAGTGCCATACTCTAAGCGGTTTTCAGACTTCAAATCTGAGGAACCCTGTCAAAGTAAAAGTAATCAGAAGCTATATGTAAAATCTCAGAACCACTGTGATCAAAGGAAGGAGAACATGTGCCCAATGACAACTGCCACCCTTTATTTGCCAAAACCTGATAAGAATCTGAGACTTTCAGGGTTCCATGGAGCACACTTGAAATCCTCTGATATGCTCGGGCTCTCTTATCGTATATTAGACGAAAGTAGGGTCTAAGAGACAGAAATGCCTTGCCCAGAGTCACAGAACTAATTGTCCAGACTCCACTCTTTTCCATCACAGTAACTATAGTAGAAAGGAATTTTTTAGCAAAGCATTGAGAGGTTATTCCTTCCCCCACTTGTTTGGTAGAAGGAAGGTGGTAGGTACTTGTTGACAGAGTAGTAAAGAGTATGTGAATTGAGTTGCATGGAGTCAATCCTTAAAGCAAAAGTGGAGTATATCATTAGTCCTAGAAGTTACTCTCTTTGGAATAGTGTAAAGGCAAGGGGAGAAGCAAGAAGGGAACCTGTTGTTTGAGTCTGGATGAGTGGAGATATATTCAAGAATTGGGATTAAAGGAGAGGAAAAGGAATATAAACTAACAGATCAGGATCACTACAGAAAATTTAGCTCCTTAAGCCTACTTATGCTCAAATCAGTTAAATATAGATATATTTGCATCCACTTACAAATTATGATGATGTTAAAATATAGTGCCCCATGTTGTGTTACTTGATCACAGGGACCCTAGAATATAGTTACATTTATTTCCATTCCCTCTCATGGTTCATGGCTTTAAGGATGACTGTGTGAATTGTCCAGCCTCTCAATTTCTGTTTATCAAAGAAGTTTTTCCATCACCTAAAACGCAAGCTATGAGAGAATGCTCCCAAGAGTGGTTTTTCTCCCTGCCTCTGTTTGTCTAAATGGAAATCTGAAGCATGGAAACAATGTTGGTTGTGTTGGCTGCAGTTCTCTGTAATGAGACTCCTGCTGCTTGTCAGGAAGGTTCACATGGGCATTTGTCCCTCAGTTTATGTCATAAGTTGGAGTTTAGGAATATTTTCTTCATTAGAGTTTTAACAAGAACATTGAATCAAAACTTTCCCACTGATATTTCTGTTCTTTTCACTTCCAGCCAGAGATGGACATTAAGTACCAAACTGTAGATCAGGGCTTTACTGGCTAGAAGTGCTTTTGCTCTATATATGGCATCCTCACTTCTATATCACCAAAGACTGTTTTTACTAGTTTTCTTCCGTGAATTCCTTACCTTAAAACAGTTCATTTATGAAACAGATTGTTAAATAGTAATTTCTTTTTAAAAACCTAACTACCAATCATAGCTTATGTTTAACATAAAATGTTTAGTATTATTTCATTTAATTTACTTAATTGTAGCCAAAAAAAAAACCCTAAGATTTTAGTAAGGTAAGTCTTGTGGAAATAAATACGATTTCTTCCAAATTGTTAAAATATGAAATATGGCAGTACTTAACAACACCTCACCAACAGCACTTTTCTAATCAATTTTTCTGAATTTATTTTGCTATTAGTTCTAGTTATTCCATGTATATATGCACCTCTAGATTATTAGTCTGAGTCTTGCTCGAGTTATACTAGAATGTCTCTCATCAGTCTTTTCTCAACAAAGTATGCATTCCTAACTCTCCAGTACTCTACTATTATACTTCTTGCTTATTTGGGTTCAGTATGTAGTTGCAATACTGACCATTTCAGGACTATGCTCCATGCCACAAATACTTCCTATAACTATATAAATCTCAGACATTTGGATTTGAGGGAATGATGCACTCGTATTTGTGAAAGTAGCAGAGTTCAAAGTCATGTTCTTTCCACTATGTTTTAATTCCTCAACTACATTATAACTCTTATTTCTTCTAACCCTAATATTGTATGAAGTCCTCATATTTAAGCTCATAACTTTGGGAGGTAACAAAACACACACTGTTTTCCTACTTTATAGGAAAAGAAGAGTTGAGTGTGTTGGCTCAATTTACTGTAGTAGTTAATGATAGGACTAATTTCCCACTTCCTAATTTAGTACACTTTTCACAAAGTCTCCTATTTTAAATTTAAACATGTAGGAACTTCTTTTAAATTGTTGTAGGACCCAGTTTGTACTGGATTGTAAGGTTAAACAGTACCTCTAAATATTATTACCAGTGCCTTCAAGGGAGAAGCCAAACAAGTATCCTGACATGCCTATTTTCTACACCATGGTTTCCTCTAAAAGGATTAATACTGGCTGGTTTTTGTTTTTTTGATTTTTTGGTGGGACTGGAGTTTGAACTCAGGGCTTTGCACTCAAACCATACCTCCAGTCCATTTTGCCTTGGTTATTTTGGAAATAGGGTATCATGAGCTATTATCCTCCTGATCTCAGCCTCCCCTAAGTAGCTAAGACTAGAGAAGTGAACCAACAGCACTTGGCTGACTTTCTTTTTTAAATATAGAGTGTGATATGTAGAAAGCCATTAATATAGCCAGTGCATTATACAAAAGAAGTATGAGAAAGAACAAAGCCAGTAGAAATTCTAATACAATATTTTAAGTGGAAGAAAAAATCATAAATAAAAGTAAGTAGGAATAAGAAAATTTTTAATAATGAAATCTTAAATTAGTAATGTTTGATAATTCAAAAATTTTTTAAATTTAAGGAAAGTTACACATGAACAGTATATAGGAACACCTTTTTGTTTTAAAGAGGTTGAATACTAAATGGTAATGAAAAGAGCAGCTGGATAGATAGAACACTGTTGGGTTAAGACAAGGTCTTTAAAATTTATTCAGACAAGTTTGAATTTCATATAGAAGAGATTCATTGTGAGTCTTAACAGGAGCCTGACATCATGAGAGTGAATTTTAGTAGGGAAATTAGACCTCAGCTATGTAAGATGAATTGGAAGGGCAGAGACTAAAGATGAAGATTAGTTAGGAGAAACTGCCATCACCGTCACTGATGAGTGAGTTTGAGACATGAAAAATATGATTGAGGAAGAATAGCGAGTCAAAGCTGATCCAGACAGGTGTCTTCGTTTTGTGGTGCTGTGAGTTGAACCCAGGGCATCAAGCACCCGAGGATTCTTGCCTGAAGAAGGTAGACGTCTCATATCCCCACTGACCATACAGTAGCTGGAAAGAGCCATCAGTTTGTGGTGAGGACGAAATCAGTTTGGGACACGTTAAGTAAGTTTATAAGCAGTGTCCTTCTGATGCTGACTTTCAGGGATTAAACCAGAAAGCAAGGGAAAATAAATGCACTAGCTTGGGAGAGCGATGTATTCACCTCTGAGGAAACCTTTCTCAGCCCATTCCTTATGTCTCTTACCTTGTCCATGCTTGTTTTTATGCCTTGGTTTCCATGAAACAGTCTTTACCATTTGCTTACTTAAATCTGAAACAGTAAAGGCGAGGTGACACATGCTTGTAATACTAGCCTTATAATCCCAGCATTAGGAGATGAGACAGGAGGATTTTAGTTCAAAGCCAGCCTGAGTTACATAGTAAGATCCTGTCTCAAAAAAAAAATCTGAAAAGGCCACTTAAAGAGCCCTCTCATCATTTCTATAAAGAAAATTTTCTGAAAAACAAATTATTCACTAAAAAACAACCTTAAATGTTACTTCATTGGCTTCTCATTGCCTAAAACATCTTAAAATTCCCTAAGCACAACATCCTTCACGCCTGGCCTACTGTTGTACCCCACTCTCTCCCAATAGGTCAGACTCTTTTTCACCTCTGTATCTTTACAAGTGTGGCTTCTCATTGCCTAAAACATCTTAAAATTCCCTAAGCACAACATCCTTCACGCCTGGCCTACTGTTGTACCCCACTCTCTCCCAATAGGTCAGACTCTTTTTCACCTCTGTATCTTTACAAGTGCATTCACTCACTCTGACAGATGTTACCACCCCTTTGGCAAAGCTTTCCCTAACTACCACCTTTCCTGCAGAGTCAAGCTTCTTCATTGGTGTGTGCATGTGCATACTTCTGTGTGCAAGTATCATAGTGTTTTATGATTCTGTACATATCACTCTCTCACCAGAATGTGAGGGCCCTGAAGGCTCTTTTATTCATCTGGACAGTCTGTCTTACTGGTTCTGGACACATAGTAGGTGTCTATTTTAACATTTTTATAAATTGCTTTTGTGCCATCAAGCAGAAAGGCTGTTTTAAAGATTCATTACAGAAAACACTGATTAAGTTGCAGAAATGTGTGTGGGACTGGTGTACTGATTCTCTTGCTCCTGAGGCAACAGGGCACACGTTTCAGTAAGTGAAGCAAGCCTCTGATGAGTAGTCAGCTCTCCCATACTCCAGCAGTAGATAAAAGTGCTTGCAGATGTGAAAGCAAGACCCTTCCAGGCTTTTTCACTATCAGAGCTTGCAGTCCCCATCTCCAGGAAGCAAAATAGTAAACATTTCATTCCTTTTGTTTCGGTGTTCCGATAATTTCAAGAAATTATCAAACAAGAAAAGAAATCCTGGAGAAGTTGAAAGACACAGACCTAAGCAGATGTTCCTGGAATCTTAAGGTCACACTTCTCCGGCAGAATGTGTTTGTTAGCTTTACAATGAATAATCTGTTAGCAGGCTTTTTTTTTTTTTTTTTGAGTAAATTAAAATTCATTTCCTAGGAAATGCCAATCACATTACCTTCCTGCTACTAAGCAGAATAGAGCTAATGAAAAGATGGCCAGCCACAGTAGCCTTAAATTGTTTTTTAAAAATGGGTTTGACCCACCACTCTATGGCAACTGGTGTGGTATAAAGGTATGAAAGAATGTAGTAAGTAGAAAGTGTAGCTGTGAACTAAAGACCCTGGGTGAGTTTCTTCTAACCCATCTGTCAATATCTGGTTGACTCACTCTTACTGCAAGCCTCTTCAGATAACCAAGTGAAAACAGAAATTTATACTTGAGGTGTCTTCCCTTTCTCCTCAGAGTTACCTCCTACATTCTCACTGGGTAGTTGAGATCTCTTACTGGGAGATGGGAACTTAAAAAGTAGGGGATCATGGTTGTTTTCCTTTTCAAAACAGGTCCAAAGATGAGATTACCATTCACAATGTGCCTTGGGATCCTTTCATTCCCCCCATAGTACTAGACCTGTGTTATGTCTTCCTTGCTACTTGGTGTCAGACACCTGATTCAAGATAATGGGCTTCCCTGTCGATGTGCATTAGTATCAAACTTAGTATAACTTATGATATGCTTCCCAAAGGAGATTCTTGTCCAAGAATAAAATCTGGATAAGTTTCTCCTAAAAGCAATGTGAATATAAATGTGCCTATAAGGACAACTTTACTGAATGACTCCCTGTGGGGTAGAATTCCCAGTAATAACAGATTTAGCATGTGGGCTGATACCTTTTTAGTATCACAGGGACAGCATTGTTTAGAGAAAGCCTTGACTCTACTTGAATAGCTTGGAGGATGCCAGGAGGAAGGCCAAAGGAAAAGGAAATGGGAGAGCTGTTGGTTTGTCTCACCCTTACATCAGATGACAGGAAGTTGAAATTGGGATTGGCCACAGCAACCTGTTATGGCCACATCTGTTTGAATAACTTAAAGCCCTTAGAAATCAAATAAGTTTTACAGTAAGGAATCCAAGTAGAGGATGAGGAGCAGAGTAGCAAGCAGTAAGTAGCTTGGGGTGACCATCTGCCAGGAATAAATTTCTTCCTTGACTATTTATGCCCTTGTTCATACTGCAGTGTAGAAACTGTGTTAAGGCAAATAAATTTGACTTTACCTATGGCTAGTTGATTGTCCGAAGTGGCTGGGCAGCCTCAGTCATGCTGTGGTTCCGTGTTGCCTAATATCCAGTCACATCAAGAATGAAACTCTCAAGCATTTATTGATGTGCCACTAGCTATATTTTGGTTTTTAGCAGTTTCTCACAAGTACAATTTGAGTGTAATGATTAACTATAAAATCTAATAGGGAAGTCTTATAGGACTGCTTTTATTTTTTTCCTTCCTTTGTGTAAATCTGTATGTATTTGTTACTTTGTTTATTTTTTAGATGGGGTAGGTTTTGACTTTTGGAATGTGGGTGTGTATTTCTGATGTAGTTACAGTTATTCACAAATGCTTTCTCACTGCCAAGAAATTAAAAATAAATAAATCGACACTATTTTTGAGCTTTTTTTCCAAAAGAAAAACAAATGGTGCTTGTGGGCCAGAGAGCTGTTTGTTAGGTGTGGTTTTTTTTGTTTGGTATTTTTATGTTGGACAGGCACATAGGCATGACATTCTAGTTCCCATTCCAAATAGAGGCAAACAACTCTGTTTGCCAGATAAACTAACATAGCAGTTTGGGCGAAGGCAAGGGTGAGAGATTTTATCCCTGGGGTAAATTAGCTCCCACTTTTATCTTGTTCTTAAGGCTGAGTGACCAACAGAATTCCTAGAGTGGACTCATTGCTCTTCTTTTTCCACAGATACCACCTCCTCAAGCTTCTCCAGAAGTTTGGTAAGGTAAAGCAGTTTGACTTCCTCTTCCACAAGTCAGGTGCTTTGGAGGGGCAGCCTCGAGGATACTGTTTCGTTAACTTTGAAACAAAGCAGGTAATTGTGCTACCCTTTATGGTACACACTTTGTCATAATATTCTGTAAATCTTTTAACTACTAAACCAGCAGTTCCTTGTGTGAGGAACCATGTTTCATTCTTCTGTCTGTACTTTGCTCTGAGTGCTGAAAGAGATGCTCAATAAACAGCTTGCAAAATCTCCTCTCCTGAGGCTCAAGGTCTTAGTTGACTGACCTGTTTTATTGACCACATGGTTTGGGGTGCCCACATCAAGCACATGGACATCCCCCTTCCTATTTTGCCTTATTCAGTTCTTTAGTGGCTGGTCAACAAAACCACCTTTTCTTTCAGTAGTTTTGTCCTGTGGGACAGAAACCCTGTTGGTGGTGAACCACCCACAAACTATTTTATTTTGATTTCTTAAAACTGCACCCTTCTGCACTGGTGGAGTGGCTCAAGTGATGAAGTATCTGCCTAGCAACCGTGAGGCCCTGAGTTCAAACCCCAGTACTTCCCAAATAAATAAATAAATAAAAATGTTTCAACAATGTTTCTCGATGTTTCAACAAATTTTAATACATGTAGAAGGGCATGGCCAGCTTCAACCATGGTGTATACGCTTATCTTGTATCAAAACTCAGTTCTTCTTTCTTTATAAAATGCATTTATAAAGAAATGGAGTTGGAATTTTATCTCTATAGCTATGGAGATGCTACTCAGTAAACTCTGTAACTTTGTCATATGTAGGAAAATTGTCCAGTTTTGATTTTGTTAATAACTTGTATGGATATTTTTCTTATTATAAAGCTACTATATGCTTATTATGGATAAAAATACAGATAACACAAAAAATTTAAATCACTGAGACCATTCCATAGAAATAATCACTTAATATTAGTTATAAATCTTTCCAGTCTCTTTATTCACATTCACATACACATATAAACACATATGTAGCTTAAAACATAACTAAGATATCATGTTTATCACTCAAAATATACCTTTTTGTCTAACACATCAAGATAACATTCTGTATTGTGATTGTGGTTTCACTAGTATGTTATATACTTATCTACAGGTGTGACTAGATAAAAAATCATTGATCTACATCTAAATGCATTTTATTATATGTGACTTAGAGTGCAATTAAAAGCTAATCAATACCATTTTCAATGACTGCATACTACATTATGTATATGTATGTTATTTGATCTCTAGTTGTTAGCAGTTTGAGTTATCTCCAGTGCTTGGTTGTTGTGAACATCACAGTAGTGAATATCTTTACAATTATAATTAGGTGAATATTTGCTACTTTTATGGAAATAGAATGACATCATCAAAAGCCATGCATAATTTTTCTTAATGCAGTTGCTGCAGCGGGGCATGGTGGTACACAGCTATAGTCTTAGCACTCAGTAATCTGAGTCTGGAAGCATTGCAAGTTCACGGCCAGTTTGGGCTAGTGAGACCCTGCTTCAAAAAAAACAAAAACACTGAACTAGAAATCATAAAGCATGCCTTGTATTTTTAGCTCTTTTACTTATTAATTTTAAATAAATCTCTTCTTTTGATCCCAATTTTCATCTGAAAAACTTTAGAAAGTTGGGAGAATACATGAAGATATATATGAAACTATAGTTGGCATTTAATATCATTGATTGTATGAACTTTGAAACAATGTACAAAGATAGGAAATTGTTTTCTAAAACACTTATACCCTGGTGTCATCTTATTACTGCTGATACTTCAGAACTAATACAGTGTGTCATATAAGTTCTAGTTCACCTAAAAAAATTAGAAGAATTACATGTCTCTTATCCAGCACTGTAATTGTGTCTGTCTGTGTGTGTGTGTGTGTGTGTGTGTGTGTGTGTGTGTGTGTGATGTATTTGAAAGGAACTGGCTCACATGATTATGGGGGCTCCATAGAGCAAGCTGGTTATACAGATAAGATAAGAGCTGATGTAGTCTTAAGTCTTTTGATGATGTCATTCTATTTCTAATTCTGTGTACTGTGGCCAGTGATAACCAATGCCTCACACATAGTAGGTACTGCATAAATATTTATTGAATGTCATGCTGGTGAGCTATGGAGGAACAAGAGAATCACCAGTAAAACCAGACTACAGTGCCAATTGGGATTACACCTCAGTCTGGGATAGACTCTCCCTATCCTCTCGGGCTTCTTCACCCCTACTAAACATGGGTTATACTTGACCGAATGCCTCATGAGTACAATTGGGCAAAGAAGGTTTGCGAGAATGAGAAAGTACAGCAGGTTTCCTGGGAGTGACCTAGGGTGACTTTTATCCAGCTTCAGAAATTCCTTTTAACCTTGTTGCTCCTATATCTGATGGGGAAAGGTTCAGGGAACTTAGGGCTTTGAAAACCAGGTGCATAGATTGACTCACACAAGTGCCTCGTTCATAGTCTCTTTGACTCACTTCTACGTTTTCTGGCCTAACTTCCTTTACTCCCCTATCCTTTGAAGCCGTAACTATTTCTCACTTTGGATCCAAGCAATAAGCCTTAATCTAGGATATAACTCTGGTGTCCCTGAAGGGAATACAGTTTCTTGACATAGTGGATGCTACCCCAGATCCTACCCCAATGCAGATATGTAGAACGATATCACCCAATAAGGACAGTACTGTTAGCTAATATTTGTGATGTGTTTGCCATATGCTCATGCTTTACATGTACTCTGAATCCGTCTAATAACCACCATTATCCATATTTTACAGGTGACAAAGCTAGAGACATTAAGTGGCTTGCCAAGCATCATACTGCCAACAAGTGACAGAATTTGAATTTTTGTCTGACTTAACTACTTATACCTTTTTTGTTATTCTGCCTTTTAAAATTATAAACCATTTGCCAAGTATTTACCAAAAGCAATGTGGTTAGAAACTCAGCTGTGAGAGCTAATGAGGCATGTGAGAATACAAATAGCTAGTTAAGCATTTGAATTTTTGACTAATTCTCACCCCTCTCTTGGACAGGAAGCAGAACAAGCCATCCATTGTCTCAATGGCAAACTGGCACTGTCTAAGAAGCTGGTGGTGCGATGGGCACATGCTCAAGTAAAGGTAGGTCTAAGAGGCTTGAAAGACAGCATCACACTTCATCCTAAATAAGTCAGTAAGACAGTTGCCCACTTCTCCATTTGCATCCCAACCTCTTTGCATCTGCAACAGCCATACTTTGGTCTCCTACTTGTATTTGCCATGTATGTTGCCAGATTTTTATTTTAAGGAGCATCTCAGGAGGCATTAAGCTATTTCATTGTTTCTCTCCACATGCCCACAGATCTTGTTTTTGATTGATTTTTCCATGTGGCTGATGTGTATACGCAGACCTCTATCATTTTTTTCATAGGGGTGATTCTTTGGAGGAAAAAAGTATTCAATTTTAAAAGTAGTTGCTTTAGGCATTATTAGACTCTTTCCCAGCCTCTCATCTCTTAGAGAGTTTAAACTTGTGTTTTGTTATGAATGCTTAAGAAATGGTTAATTTCTATGAGTGCATACAGAGCTGGCATCTCCTTACTCCAAAGATCTGGAGAGTAGCTAATGTGTGCACTTCTGGAACTTTGCGGTGCCTGTATTGTCTCAGGCCCTGAGAAGTGGCAAACTGCCCTGTTCGTCCTATTGTTTGTCTCTTGGGAGAATGCACTAGAAAAACTAGCCATAAAAGAAAAAGAAAAAAAAAAACAGTATTCTGTTCCAGCTGTCACAGAGGAGATGAAGTATTTAGACTAGAGTAGTCCCAAGAGTCAGTTATCCTCCTACAGTGGGTCCAGATAAACCTGGCTGAGGAAAGGTTGTAACAGTCAGAGCTAGAGCTTCCATCATTAACTGTGTGAACATAGTTTTTGATCAGAGGCATTTTACCCCTACCCAACACACTTCCCAGTAGAATCAGAAAAACCAAACAGACATTTAAGTGCAGTGTCCAAGCTGAAAAACAAAGCTCAGAAACTTTGGATCCTTACGAGCATTTCAGGTAATCACAGGGCCTTCTCAATTTCTAGGACACATTGCCTTAAAAATAGAAACAAGAAGAATTGCCAAATGCTTTTTCCTCAAAAGAAAATCAAGTCTCATTTGCCAAACTAGCTGTCGTTTTCTCCTTCTCCATCTCATTGAAAAGGCATGCAGGAGAAATCATCCTTCATTCCTGTCTTTCATTTGAAAATTTCTACCTCATGGTTCTTCTCTCTCATAAATCTTTTTTGACCAAAGTCTCCTGGTTGTTCCTTAATATCATATTTACTTTTTACAAGAAACATGTAATTATCTGACATAAAATTAAACTCTTACTGCATAATTTTTTCTGTATCATCAACTGAATGTTGTCGCTACTGTTCTTCTCCACTCCAGCCTGTTAAGAGTTGAATATTATGCAAAATCTAGCAAAATTTTTAAGTGTTTTGAATAAAATAAATATTGTAGAGATGATGTGTGACAATTAAAGTAAGAATGTAAGAGGGCATCCCTGCTGTATATTTGTACCATCTGTGAATTTGAACATTGAAATTCTTACATGGGAAATTCTCTACCAAATAAAGAGGACTAGTGGCTAGATAGAAGCTTCTTCTCAACTAAAATTATTAAAATTACAGTTTTTAGACCAAACCTTTGCAGATTTTTGCATTAATTATAAATGTAAATTGTCCAGAAATTGCTAATGATAAACTGGTTGTGATTAGCATTTCTGAATTCTTGCACCAAAATAAAGGGCTGGTTTCTGACAGGTGAAGTAATTTCCCTTTTTTCTTACCTTCAGAGATATGATCATAACAAGAATGATAAGATCCTTCCAATCAGTCTTGAACCATCCTCGAGCACTGAACCTACTCAGTCTAACCTGAGGTAAGACAGCATACTATAAAAGGACACAGTTATGAAAGAACTTGAGCCATTTCTTTATTCCACGCCTTCATGAGTCTTCAGACTCTTAACTTAGAATAGAATCTACTAACTTGATGTGTTGAGAGATGTATTCAGTTAGCCTCTAAAATGTATGTACTTCCTGTCCTTTCATCCCCAAGGTTATGTATCCCCATTTATAGAATTCATTCACTCAAGAAAGAGTTGAGTTTAGTTACCACACACTAAGCCTTTTGCTTGGCACTGGGGATACAAAGATAAATCAGGTATAGCCCTTACCCTAAAAATAAGCATTTTAATAAGGTCTTAAGTCCCTTTGGCATGTCATTATCCACTAATTCCTCCCCAGCCATGAGTTCTCTTATACAAAATTTTAATTTGCAGACATTTAATTCTATGTACCATTGCAGAACTATAATAGTTTTGGTTCTAGTTTGTATGAATTGTCAGTTACTTCTTTGGAGTTAATTCAAAACAGGGGCACAAAGATTGGGTAGAGAAAGGGGAAGTTAAGTGGGTGGTTGAGCATAAGTAGGAGTTTTTGTTTGGCTTGGGTGGGTTTTGTTTTGTTTTGTTTTTTTTGTATTATAGCCTAGGGAGAAATTTTAATGACAGTAACAATAGCCAGGATTTGTCAAACTTACTATCAGTGAGTACTATGCTAAACACTTTACATGTGGTATGTCCTTTAATTATCATAAGAAATCATTTTACATAAGAGAAAACTGAAGCCTACAGAGGTGAAATATTTTGGCTGAAACCATGCAGGTAGCAAATATCAGAGTTGGACAGAATTCAAAGCCAAGTTTAATGGACTTCACAATTCAGTCTTTTAGTTACTACTTCTAAATCACTATAAATGTAGGAATATAGTTCTAAAGTCTGTTCCAGGGAAGGGAGAGAAGATATGTGAAGGAGCATCAGTGGATCAGAAATCAAGTTATGAAGTCAGTCTGTTTCTTAGAAAGTCAGTGATGTGTATGTGGATGGAAGACCAGACCAGAAGGAAATAAGATTTTAAAACATCTCACTAAACTACAGGAGGAAGTGGTCCTGATATATTTTCAAGAGTAGTAAATTGAAATTTATTTATAATTATTCATTCAAGTTTAATGTCATGATATTTCTTAATTTTGTGTTGCCTGTATTGTTCGTGCTCCTTAGAAACTGTAAAAAAGGAAACTTATGATTTCTCCAGACTCACTGTTTGCTTATATCCACTGTGCTATTTTCACATTAAGATTTGAATCTCCTTGGTCATAGTTCATAGATCTGGAGGTTTTCATATGTCTAACTGCAAATCGGTCTAACTGAATTTGTGCTCAGTGATCACCATATTATAGTTGTGCATGTCTTTCATTTCTTAAGGTCAGTATTTGCCACTTGTTTACCAGATAACCTAGAATTTTCCATCTATTTTTTTAATCCAGAGAATCTCAGCTTACATCTTTCTATTTACATCTGTGCCTAATTAGAGCAGGTTGTTTCCCTGTGACTCATACAGAATGCCGGGGTGGCTGTCTCATTAGTGAATGAAAGAGGTGCCAAAATACAGCTTGGTGATTCCTCAGTATTCTTTTTTTTTTTTTCTTTCTCAGTATTCTTTTTATTGTAACTTAGATTTATTGTTCATTTGGGTTTTAGTTTGGTTTTTTACTTTTTTAATTGACATATGAAAATTGAACATCTATAGGATTCCTTCTATGTGATGTTTTAGCACATGTATACATTATTTCATAGTCAAATCAGGGTAAACATATAGTCATTTCTTTATGATGACTTAGTCTTTTTAATTTCTTATCCATGAAAATTTGTGGGTATGTACAGCAAATACATACCTTTTGAGGATTTCTAGGAGACCATATACACACTCCTTCCAAGTTTGTCTTACTAGCTATAGACGATTAATAGCATCAAGAATGGAAAATTGCCTAGTGCCAGTGGCTCACACCTGTAATCCTAGCTAATTAGGAGGCTGAGATTGTGAGGACTGCAGTTCAAGACCAGCCTGGGCAAAAAGTTTGCATCTCCAATATAACCAGGGGAAAATGGACTACAGGAGTGGCTCAAGCAGTGAGCACCTGCTTTGAAAGCACAAAGCCCTGAGTTCAAACCCCAGTCCCACTGGAAAAAAAAATGGAAAGTAAAGGAATCTGTGGGCCAAAAACTTCACACTACCCAAGTACTTTGCATTCTGGTCCAAGGATAGCAATGACTTTAGTCAGAAGCAAATTCATTCACAACTTTCACAGCATCTCACCTCACCCTTTCTGGGGGAGAGGCTTTGGGAGACAGCAAATGAATTGAATTCTACCTTTACAGTTTGTTAGCTGTGTGAACGTTGGGCACATTACTGCCTGTCTGCATTTGTTTGCTTTATAAAATATGGATGGTAACCCTTGTAGGATTATTACAAGGTTCAGAAACAATACAAGTAAAATGCTGCATACTATGCCTGGAATATTGTAAGTAACAAACATTTGTCAATAAAAAGAGACTTTATAGGATTTCCAGAATTTTTTCCCATTGTTATTCTGATTCAAAAGGTGGTACAGTGTAATGGTTCATGCATGGGCTTTGGAGTCTTTATTCAAATCTCAGTTCTCTCAATATTGTTGAGTATAACATTGTGCAAGTTAACTTTTCTGTGCCTCAGTTTCTTCATCTGTGAACTAAGGAATGATGGGCTGATAGAGTAGTTCAAGTGGTAAAGCACCTACCTAGCAAGTGCAAGGCCCTGAGTTTAAACCACAGTACAACCGAAAAATAATAAACTAAGGAATGTAACCTACCTTATGTCATTTTCAGTCCTATCTTTGAGTGTCAACTCTGTGCCTAGCACTAAGGTACTAAAATAGTGTCTGTTTCTGAGGATTAAATACAATATTTGAAGTAGTCCTAACAGTGCCTTAGCTTATATTAAAATGTTAATGGATAGTTTAGACTGAGGTTTGAACTCATTGCCTTGCCTTGTACTTTTACTAGGCAAGCACTCTACTGCTTGAGCCACATCTCTAGCCCTTGGTCTCTTTCTTAAAATGAGAGCTTTGGTTACTTTTTTTTGTCTTTTGTATGAAATGTTTAAATGTTTGTAGTTTAATATCTTGTTGTTTCTCTAATATGCATAAGAGGCATAAGAAGGTGAAATATACAAGCATTTTCCAAATGCATCTAGTCACACTCTGATCCTCTGCTATTCCTTTTCCAGTGTCACTGCAAAGATAAAAGCCATTGAAGCAAAGCTAAAAATGATGGCAGAAAATCCTGATGCAGAGTATCCAGCAGCACCTGTTTATTCCTACTTTAAGCCACCAGATAAAAAAAGGACTACTCCATATTCTAGAACAGCTTGGAAATCTCGAAGATGATGGTTGTGAATTACCATAGCAGCAAAAGAAGATTGGTCAGCACACCTGAACTCCTTTGCCTTTGTACTTTGTAGATGTGAATGGTACTGTCCAACAAAGCACAGTCAGATGTTAGGATTTGGTAATATAATGTTTTTGGATGGTCTTATGGATGTGTCTTCCCTTGAACTATTGTGGAATTGAGCATCATCCAGAATAAATAGGATTGTGTCCAAAATTGTGACTTGAACACTGAGATGCTCTAGTTGGCTGGTTTGCTTGGATTTATAACTCCAGAAACATTATCTAGTGTGCCAGAGAGAAAGGCAAACATGCAAGATGTTAATATTTAAATCAAGAAACTAAATATATTAATGTCCATCAGAAAAAAATGGAGCATTTTTCTGTGCACATGTCTTTACAACATAAAGAAAAAGTAAAAGACAGGAAAGTGAGAGAAAGATTTTAAATCATTTTTAGAACCACTATTTGAGGATTTGCTATGGAAATCCTTCCAACTGGACTAAGAAGATTCTTGGCAAAAAAGAACTGGTCCTTTGAGCAAAATCTCAGTTAGGGAAATATAGTGTGTATATCTTAAAATTATTTATGTCAACAAACTGTGGAATCAAATTTAGCATTTTATACCACAATAGAAGTTCTGTTTAGAATCCAACTTTTATTCTATAGTGATCATTTTTTAAAATCTAAATAATCCTGCCTTCTATAATACAAATGTTCTAACATGGGACTTTAAAAATTGCATTTATTGCATGAGATTGTTTTTATAGCATGAGATTTTTCCGTTTGGAATTATATCATGGTCAATCTAAATAGGAAAACAAAAGTTCTTTGAAAGCCTAGACTTTGCTGTATTGGTCACAATCAAACATTATTTTCTAATAAGTATGTATGGGTCTGAGTAGAAGAGGCCAAATGATCTTGTACAGAATGAGAAGGAAGTCAGAGGAGCAGCCACTGCTCTGGCACCAAGATTTTAATCACTTCATATTTTATGTAGTTTTAAAAGACTGCATGACTTGAACATGATCATTCATAGAACATAATTCTTACTAGATAGTTTTGTGTCTTTGAACATTTTTAATATAGCAGTATAAAGAGAGTCAAAAACTAATAGACTTGGTATGTTTCTTCAGCACAGTTTTGGTCATTTTGGTGCCAGGCTTGACAGACTGTTTCATTGGGCCACACCATTGCTTTTTTATAGGTAAATCACTTTGTTACCTACTCCAGTTGCCATTCATGGTGATTAAAGACTGTTTGCCACTATCATTCCTAGTAAGAAGACCTTTATTATAGGTACTTTTAAGTCTCCCTAAGAGTATTAATGTACAGGGGTAATGGCATACGTCTGTGTTCCCAGTACTTGGGAAGCTGAAGCAAGAGGATTGTGAATTCAAGGCTAGCCTGGGCTACAAAGTGACACCTCTGTCAAAAAAAAGAAAAAAGTATAAATGAATTTAAGACACTTAAATGAGAACTTAAGCATAGGGAGGTCTCAGAAGCTACAGACCTGGTTCAGAGAAATTCTTACCACTTTTCCTAAGGTCAATCTTTTAAAATACATTTTGCATTTATTAGCTATGTGTATCTATGATGCAAGTAACTCTCCTTCCACTTGGGGGCTAGTTCAGGGAGGTGGGAGTACTTGTCTCCCATTTTTCTGGTGATTTCTTGGAGTACAGAATTCACCATTTTATCCTTAAGTCCTCAAGGGTTATAGTGGTTTAGAACTTAATGCCAATAGCCTTCTATTTTTAATAGGAACTTAGAAAATACTTAGGATTATATAGAATTGTTTCCTTTAGAAACCAGAACTATTTATTTGTATTTAAAGCAGTGTTTATTATTTGTACCAATTCTTACCCTCCATGTGAATAAAAGCAAAACAGTACCTATGTGATTATGTCTTCTCTCGTCCATTTACTAGAATAAAGATTGCAACTCTCTGGTAGTCTTGTTCCCAGGAGCTGATAAGTACCTTCTCTCCAGAGGGCTCCTGCTAGACATTCAACCTCCAAGGCAATTCGCTTCACCCTTTTGCCCACCTACCTCTGTTAGAGCTGAGGGTGTGGCTCAAGTGGTAGAGTGCTTGCCTAGCAAGCATAAGGTCCTGAGTTCAAACCCCAGTACCACCAAAAAATAAAATAAAATGTAATGAAATGGTTAATTTAAAAAAAGCTGGAGGCATGGCTCAAGTGGTAGAGCACCTTCCTAGCAGGTGTGAAGCCCTGAGTTCAAACCCCAGTACCACCAAAAAAAAAAAAAAAAAAAAGAATGCTTTCCTCTGTTAGAGATAAGAAAAGGGACTAGCTATTCTCATTGCAAGTGTAGCTGTTTGAAAAGAAGTTAACAGAAAACTGAGGGCCCATACTTACCATACAATGTTCATTTTCTCTCTCAAAGTAGAAGTTTCAGAAGAATTAATTGTATGTGTTGTAAATATACTGAAAGCATTCTGATGAGAGGTTTGTAAAATACAATTGTTAATTTGGTTAACTGTTAAGAGATGTTATCTGTTTTTCTAAAAGTATCTCATAATTTTGACTTATGCAAGAGTGGATTGACAAATCTTCAGGAGAGAGATGTGAACTGTCTTCTTAATCTTAGCTCCTGTTTTCTCAAATGCAATATGTAACCCTAACCATAGGGTAGTTTGGGGAGGAGGATCACATAAGGAAAGATTTTTTCCAAGTGTGTCATGAATCAGTAGCCTCAACTTTATAAAACCAAGTATTCTACAGCCTTGTCCCTTGTTTACAGAGATACAATTAATTTATAAATCAGCCATATATCTGTGATTTTTTTTATCCTATATAAAGGAACAGGATCAATTCTTACTTGGTAAGTTAAATGTTTAAACATCATTATGTTCCTAAATTATAATTTGATCCCAGCATATTTGTCCTTGATTTCTCTTTCTCTCCTGCTCCTATCCAGTCCTTGAACAAGTCCCGGCAATTCTGTCTTCAAAGTACATCTTCAATCTCACCACTCCCCACCTCCATCCAACACTACCATTTTTGTTCTAGCCGCCATCATCTCTTGCCTGGACTATTACAGTACCTTCCTAATTATCTCCCTGTCTTCACTATTGCCCCCCTATAGTCAGTTTTCCACACAATAGCCAGAACAATTCTTTTAAATGTCATTCTCAAGCCAATAAGCAGAGGCATGTGTCTATAGTCCCAGCTATTATGCAGAAACAAATCATTTGAGTCCAGGAGTTCCAGGCTCAGCCAGGCACCATAGCAAGACTAAGTATCTTGGACTGGAGGTATAGCTCAAGTGGTAGAGCACCTGCCTAGCAAGCTCACGGCCCTGTGTCAAACCCCAGTATCACCAAATAAATATCCTGCCCAGAAAGACTCCATCTCTTTAAAAACTAAAAAAAAAAATGTCACTCTCTTAATGGCTTTCCCTCATACCTAGAATATGATCCAAAATACTTCTAAGACCCTAAATGACTTGTCCTGGATTGTCCAACCCTACATCTTCCCTTGCACACTGTGGCCCAATCATAATGATCCTTGAATACAAGGAAGCACTTTCTTCAAAACCCTTACATCAACAGTTGCCATTGCCTGGGTTTAAGAGTCTGTCCTTGGTCTCCCTTTCAAATGACAGTCCTGCCACGTTTCGATTCTCGCTCTTCATTTTCTAAATAGAACTTAAACCACATCCAACATTATATATAAATTGATTTTGTCTCTTTTCATTTGAATCTAAGTTGACTGTAAGAAGGAACTCTATGTCACTGCTATGCCATCAGAATTTGAAACTGCCTGGTATGTAATACATCCTCAATAAATATTGGCTGAGTGGAATGCCAGGAGCCTACTATTTGAGCAATCAAGGAACTTGTGAGACAGTTGCACATAGCTGCTTTGTCCAGATGGAAAAAGTGGAAACCCAGAGGGAGATAGTGACTTGGCCAGGATTACATAATTAATAGATCCTATGATTTGGATATGGTTTGAGTGTGTCCCTTGATGGTTAATGTGTTGAAATTTAAGTCCTGTTGTGAAGTATTAGGAGATTGGAAACTTAAACTAAACTCTGACTTTAATGGGAGATGGGCCTTTGGCAGATGATTAGAATGAAATAAGATCATCAAGATGGAACAGCCATGACTAAGTGCTGGTAGCTTTATGAGAAAAAGAAGCAAGACCAGGTGACACACACATTCTTATTACCTGTCTCTTGCTATGTGATACCCCACATCACCTCAGGATTCTGCAAGCAAGAAGTCCATCACTATTTCAGTCAACCTCTGGTGGACCTTCAGAACTATGAGCCAAAATAAAAATTTTTTTTTGAGACAGGATTGTACTATGTAGCCCAAGCTGCCCTCAAAGTCATGATACTCATGCCTCAGCCTCCTGGGTGCTGGGATTACAGGCATGTAATCCTCTTTTTTTATATAAAGTAGCCTGCCTCAGGTATCTTATTATAGTAACACAAAACTAACAAAGTGTGAGAGCTTTAGGTAGAACCCAGGCCTACAAACACCTATCCCAGTGTACGTTGCCTCAGAGAACTGGTCCATGCTACCTATTTTTGTACAGCCCACAAGCTAGTAACATTTTCAAGTGGTGGAAGAAAAAAGTGACAAATGAAAATGACACAAAATTGAAATTTCAGTGTCTGTAAAAAAAATTAGAACACAGTCATCCATGCACATACATTTACACATTGTCTCTGGCTATTTTCCTTCTATAATAACGGTAGTTACAGTATCAGTAGTTACAACAAAAACCAGCCCACAAAGCCTAAGATATATACTATCTGTCTCTTTACAGGAAAAACTTAACAACCCCTGCTCTAAGTTACCCCAATACTAGAAATGTCTTTCTAAGCCTTCATGGTAGCCAAAATTATGTTACTGCAGAAAATAGTAAAACAGGTGACAGTGATTTGCATTGGGTATTGTTAGCTACTTATTCACCTAGCTGAGCCCTTAAAAATATTTGGGGATAGGGAACTAGCTATCCCAGCCCTAGTAGCATCATTGTATTACGAAAGATTGTAAAGCTCATTGTCCATGTGAGGAAATAAAACCCATATAAGCTTTGCTATTAGACATGCCTGCATTGGAATTCTAGCCCCGGTATGTGAACAGTTAGTAAGGAATCCTTGAGCTAAAGTGACAAAAAAACACTCCAATTTCCTCATGGTAGAAATGTTACTGGCTCATGGAACTGAAAAGACCAGGTGTTCAAATGATATGGTCAGGAATCTATCTTATCTCTAGATTGTGTTTTCTTCTGGGTTGGTTTCATTCTCACACAGGTTCTCCCTTCAAAGTCTCCGGAGAGAGATTTGAATCCTGAGGTTTGAAAAAATAGAAAAATGTTAGAATCTATCCCAGGGCACAGGTCTATGTCTTCTTTCCTCTGCATTCGGTCTTACCTGACTAGGATTACTGACTACACAAAATGGCATTTTATTTTGTATGTGTCCTGTGACCTTCCTAAGCTAGAAATATAATTAAAAATTTAGCGTTTCTCTCCTGAAAACAGGCCTGTCCCATCTCTGAAGCTTTCTGGTAGGTGACCTCATCAAAGCAAAACATACTCATTCCATGGGTATAGACTGAGCATTGACTGCATGTCAGCATGAGGCTGTAAAGATGATAAGGCATGGTCCCCATGCATTGTCACGTACCACAATAAAGGGAAGATTTGGGAGCTTCGGGAGAGCAAAGGATAGGCACCTAACCCAGCTGGGGACAGAGGTAAGAACGTAATGATTTCCCAGAGGAAGCAACACCTAAGCTGAGCACTGAAGGATGTTAGAACATATGCCAGGCCACAGGTTTAAGAAAAGCATTGGAGGAAGAACAAAGCCCTGAAGTAAGGGAGCTTGAGAATTAATTCCAAGTGTAGTTAAGACATTTCCAAATACCTATGTTCATAGAATAAGCCAGGTTTATGAGGCCTCTTCAATCTGAGAGCATTCCCTGGTACATTGAGACAACCTGAGTTCATCCCCCCAATGCTCTCCAATTGCTCCTTCTTTTATGTCTTTGAGAACAACCTAATGAAGAAAAAATAAATAAAAATTAGAAACCTGGGAGCAACCTTTGACATTTTCCACTCCTTCACTTCCCACATCCAGACTCCTAAATAATCTACTTTATATATATATTGAAGTTATATATGATGTTAGCTGGGCACAGTGGTGCATGCCTGTAATTCAGAAGGTGAAGCTCAGGAAGGATTGCTGTTTGAGGTCAACCCAGGCACACAAATTAATGACACCCCTGTCTCAACCAACAAGCCACAAGGCAGGCATGGTGGCACCCATCTGTGGTCCAGCTATGCTGGAGGAATAGTAGGATGGTGGTCTAAAGCCAGGCCTGGGCAAAAACATAAGGAACTATCCAAAAAACCTAAAGCAAAAAAGGGCTGAAGGCTGGCTCATGTGGTAAAGTGCCTGCCTAGCAGCTCCAAGGCCCTAAGTTCAAACTCCAGTACCACCGAAACCATCCAACCAAATAAACAAATAAATAATATGTGATGTTATATAGAATCATATATATAACATAAAAATATAGATACAAATATGTAATATATGATTTCATAGAATCATATATAAATATGTGCAAATACTTGATATATAACATAAATAGCTGCTTTTCTTTTGGCAGCACTGGGGTTTGAACTCAGGGCCTCATATTTTGCTAGGCATGTGCTTTTACCACTTGAGCTACTCCACCAGCCCTCTTTTGTGATTTTTTTTCCCCCAGAATAGGGTCTCGTGAACTATTTGCCTGGGCTGACTTCAAGCCTCTATCCCCTGATCTCTACCTCCTGAGTTACTAGGATTATAGGTGTGAGCCACTGGTGCCCAGCATAAAAAACTTTTAATATGAAAAGTTGATT